ATATTACATTGTTTCAGTCTGTTCACCACTTAGTTCAATTATCGACACTAATTCATCTGTTTCTGAAAAGCACGACACTATCGGAAACCTGCCACTGTTTGACTTTCCACTTCCTTGCTTTCAGTGTTAAAATATGGCGGCAATGCGAACCTGTAACAATTAGAAATTTGGAAGGAAACAGTCGTGTCCTATTCCACACTTTATCCCGGCATTTTCCTGGAGGAGCTGAGGAAAACTATGAAACGCCTCAGCCTCGATACCCGAAATTCGAACCAAGACCCTCCCGAATACGAGTTTAGAGCGCTACACCTACGCCACCCGTTCCGTCTGTTCGTTCCCCTAGAATAGAGCCTCAAGGCCGTAAAAATGTTCTGTTTTGTCGGTAGGTGAATCATCGTGGCTTGACATGGCAATTTGAAATGCGACATGTTGCAGATATATATGTGGCAGCAGACCAATAAATCCTTCAGTACTTTGATAAATTGCGCAACAGCAGGTGTTCCCACATGTCTGTTTGAAATTAGATATACAAATATTTTGAGTATACTGAACGCTTGGTCTCAAACGACTCAAAATTGTGCGAGCCAATCCCGCCTTGACTATGAACATATACCGCGAGTTCTTTCTTTTTATTTTCCTTGTAATAGTTCTGTCATATGTTTGCAGAGGCTTGGCGAAAGTTCGCTCTGCCTTCGGAGTGGCTATTCCTCTAACACACCGTGGAGAACCATAGGGTTGTGAGACGTCGAGGCTCCCACGTTTTCTAGACCAGTGTTTCTCAACTACCCGGCGGCGGTCTCACAACGGTTGAGAACCAGTCTTCTAGACAATGTTGTACCCATTTCATTAGTTATTAAGTACGATTTTTGTAAGATTGTGTGCTTAGGTTAAAATGTCAGACGGCTGGCCGGAAGTCGAGGAGACAGAGCCGCGGCTGACTCTTCGCATTCCTTGGCAGTCGATCGAATTGCCTTTAGAAAAGACTGTTTACGCATCAGTGGAAAGACCCGGTCAGGTTTCGCTTCGCGCGACAAGGAATGTCCGGCAAGTTGCCGACCTCAGGGATTTCGCGCGCACAGCTTTAGCTACTTGGGGAAAAAAGTTGAATTTTGGGATTGGAAAAAACAGGCCGTTTCAGGCACTCTGTTTCTAGCACTTGCAAGAAACGGACGAGTAAAGCAAAGTGTTCCTGTGGAAAACCTTGGGATGGCGCCAGTGTTTTTCATGTGCATCATGTTCAGCGCGAGTGAGTACTTGCCCGTGGTCGGGTCACTGATTGCTTATTAGAACCTCTGGTTTAAATTATTTTGGTTGGTTAATGTGTTCTTAGGATAGAGTTGTACGAGTGTTTTTTTTTTCCTTGGCACTACAGCCCCAGTGGGCCTCGGCCTACCTCCATGAACTTCTCCGTTCACTTCGGTTTTTCTAGATCTTACACATATGGTAGGACTCCTTGGACGAGTGATTAGCTCGTCACAAGGCCTCTACCTGTAGACAAACACAGAAAAACCGCCGTTACTACCGTAACAATCCTGTTGCGTCACCGTTACGTTACCGTGCGGAGGAGGGGGAGGGGAGCGCTGACTCACCCGCCGCGTCACTGCTGGTGGGGGGGGGGTTCCTTTGCGCAACATGTCACAATATGTTTCCCAGGAATAGTGTAGCCCAGATACGAGTATACCCCCAGGCACTGGGATCCCTTTCCATCGCCTCCCACGATTCGCAGGGCTGCGGTAGAGGTATTAGAACCCGCCTCCACATAGGATTGAACTAAGCTGCAGACTTGTTCCTTGCGTATAACATCTCGGCACAGACCACATAGAAAATGCAGCTCTTCAATTTTTGCGTTCGTCTTTGTTTACACGGGAACGTGTTTGCCGAGCCGTTGGCCAGAAACGGCTCTGATATACCCGCCCATCTTGTGGTCGTTGCTTAGCAACGGCCCTACAAGCTACAATATGAAGAGACAGTCCGTCTGTACTAAGCGAACAGTATGCATTAGTCATGTACTTAGAGTATTTCACCAGACACACGTGACAGGTAAAAAGAATTTTGTAGAAGATAATATGATGGAACATAGAAACATTGCTTTAATATTGTCAAGCATATGTTGCGACGTTTCGACTGATTTGTGGGGCCGCGCTACAAGCGGCACAGCAATCAGTCTTCCCATTCTGTAGAAATCTGTTATCATACATGTGAACTGCGACACGTGTATTGTGTTTCGAAATAAATTAGCCAGGGAGGAATGAGATATCAACTTTTATCAGCTGTTGGTTTGCAATTAGGCGCATAGTTGTTACCACAAGAAATACAGCCAAACACAAATAAAGGCATTAAGTCGTTATGTAAAACGAGCATAGCGCTTGTCATTCCTGCTACATATTTAACCTACATTCGCAGCCTGAGAATGCATAATGCCATGAAGGCAAGGGACCCACTTAACATGGTTGTAACTACATATTGTGGACCCACCGTCTCAATTTTTCAACTCGTTGGGTGGGGTGAGACTGAGTCCAGTTAGTAAGGCAGTCACTAGTGGGCCTGCAGTACAAGTGCCGGATGATAGATGAGCATGGAGAACTTACGGATTGAGAATTGGCAGGGGAAACCGAAGTACTCAGAGAAAACGTGCTCCAGCGCCACTTTGCCCACCAAAAGTCCTACATGACCTGACCCGCGATCGAACCCGGGCTGCCGCGGTATGAAGCCGGAGGCTAACACCCTCATCTAAGGGCCGCGCCATAGCTCAAGGGGTTAATCACTGGCTTCCCACCGCGGCGGCCCGGGTTCGATCCGAGGTAAAGTCATGTAGGATTTTTGGTGGGCAAAGTGGCGTTGGGACAGGTTTTCTCCGAGTACTTCGGTTTCCCCTGACAATCTTCATTCCACCAATTGCTCCACAGTCACCCTCACCTATCATCTGGGGCTAGTACAATAGACCAGAATTGGCCGCAGTACAAGGGACTTAGTCCGACCCCACTAGCAATAAAAAACCCTGATCTATAACACGGCTTCACCGTCTCCATTAGTGAATTAACTGTTTCATTTCCTCCTGCTCAGTGGCGAATCCCGTTCTAACGTCGTTATGAGAAGCAACCACAAGACCTGTGATTGCTAAGTAACATACTTTCTCTCTCTCTTTCATTGCAACACATTCGCGAGAGCATTATGTTGGCCCTGTAGTCAGGCCGTGAATCTAACCGCCTTCCTGGCCTGGGCCACAATAAGGACAAGAAACGCTAGCCGAGTCCAAGCAGAATATTGAAGTTTTACTGAATTGAGAAGAGGAAACTTTTTCCTGTGTTTTCCCAGATTTTGTGCTGGGTGGGATGACGTACGTTGCTCTGTGGTCCTGAGCGTTAGATACTGTTCCCGCTGTGCATACTGCCCCCTCTTGACAGTAGAAAAACACCAATTGTTATTTTGTTTCGGTGGGTTTGTTTTATGACATTGTCAGAATCTCACACTATACAAAAAAACTCCGTCGTTTTAGTCCGCAAGCGAACTATACCGACCGGGCGACCGCCGCTTGTCGGCGAAGTTAGTGCCAAATTTAGCGGATAGAGGGTGTCACGTGGTCAGCGCAACGAATCCCCACGGCCGTTAATTTCAGTTTTCTAGACCGGACATCTCACACTAAACAGATGCGAATAATAGGACCGGTCAATAATGGACTGAGAGGGATTTGGAAGAAATGGCCTAATCACGGTACTAACCAGCATTTATCTCGGAATATTGGGGAAATGTATACTGTCACGTGTATCAGTGACTAAAGACGGGGTTGGGATTCGTATTTGAATTTATTGACAACTTAGTGGTCCTAACTACATTTGATCATGACACGGGAACTACAACAGTCTCAATGGAATAAGGCCATAAGGAACTCAGTATCAGTTACTTTTTTCTTTGTGATCACGTCCAAGCCAGATCCAGGGCCAATCCAATCTCTCATCCATCTGAGACTGAGAATGTGCGGAGCTATACCTCCGCCTGTCCATATACGTGTATGTTCATGGCGAGGTGCTTAATTAAGGACGGAGACAACTGTTACCTTATATTCACTGAACTCCTAGTTCTGCTTACACAATAACGAGACTGCCTTCTTCATATAGAGACTGTCCTCTGTTACAACTGGAACATTCCCTCCAATACCTTATCACTACAAGTTTAAGATGATACCTGTTACCATGGGCACAGATCAAAACCATTGTCTGAAAGTATTCCCTTCTTCTTTTAAGTGTATGCACATGCATATATACTGTTTATTGTGATTTGTTTAAAGAAATTAGGCCTACAGAATACTCCCACAAGTAAGGTCATGGTTATGTGAGGATTATCTCAAGAGGAACGTTGGAATTTAGGGACTTCACAAATTTTCAGTATATAAAAAACAGACAAAGCTATCCCTATGACAGGCCGTGGAGGTCCATAGGGTTGTGAGACATCGAAGCTCCCACATTTTCTAGACAATCGGCTCACAGATGGCGGTGAGGTTGTCAGCCTTACGCGCCGTCCTTCGATGTCATTTGTTGACTGTTCACGTTTGTCACAAGTGGAAGTTAAATTCTGCAGTGTACCAGTGTTGCCGGTCCCAGTGGCCGCATGATCTAAGGCGTGAACCGTCTTCGTCCCATCGAACAATGGGATCGTGGGTTCGAATCCCACTTAAGGCACAAAAGTCTGTCTCCTCTTATTCCTTGTTTGTGTTGTCCTGTGTAGATAAAGGCCTTGCGACGGGCTGATCCACCGTCCAAGGAGTCCTACCGACTCCCTTAGGATTAGGAAACTGAAGTGAAACAAAGCTTTTCACGGATGGCCAATGCTCCCAAGGAGCAAGGGCAAGGAGAGAAAGTACCAGTGTTACTGTTGATTGGCTGTGTTTGCGGTGTATTTGTACATCAAGCTCAACACACACAGAAAGACAATGAGAATGCCCTTGATGACAGTGTTGTATGGATAACGATAAGTAGCTAATCTAAGTGTGATGTTTGTTTCAGAACCACGCCCAACAGCACATCTGGTGGCAGCTGATGTGAGTACACATCGAGCTCTGGAATGGCTTCTTAGGCAAAGGCTAGATGACTGGGGGTGGGGTAGTGACACCCCGAGAGCTGTCCTTGCTCTCCAACTTGGCAACACTTCCAATTGGTTTGGGCCTGATAATCTTGAGAGCCAATTATCGTGCAAGCAGATGGAGCTGGATGTTATACTACAGCTTTGGCGGTATTTTGGCATGAGTGATTTCTTTATATTATTTTAATATTTACTAATTAGTGTCTACACAAGATGCTGAATTTAATGGCATTGAACAGAGGTTCTTTCAGTCAAGATATTTCCACACTTGTCAGAAGCGTCAGTCTTTCTGTTGCTGTTTCAACTTAACCATATTCGATAGAAGTTGAACAAGCTTCCATTACTATACGTTGCAATGATCGATATTAGTCCACATCATCAACAATCATTGCCCTTTCCCTGAGTTATTTGACTTCGTTCATTATGTGATAAAAATGGATTTTTGTTGTATCCCCCCCGGCCCGGCATTTTTCCTTAAAAGTGCATTATTTTAGGAAAAAAAGAGAGAAAGTAATATGCAGCGAAAGAGATAAATTTTATAACTATTTAGTGTTTTTACAGCAAGGATGTTGATACCGCACTTTCAACCCCCACCCCGTCCTCTTTTTTTATTCGCTTAATGGGGGGTGGAAACCAACTGGGTTCTCTCGGCACGGCGGCCACTGATTGGCCTATTGTAGCCTGCCCCGGGTGCTTATGATGATGGAGAATTTGATGGAATGGAAATTGGCAGGGGAAACCGAAGTACTCGGAGAAAACCCGCCCCAGCGCCACTTTGTTCACCACAAATCCCACTTGACCAGACCCCGGGATCGAACCCGGGCCGCCGCGGTGGGAAGCCAGCGACTAACCGCTTGAGCTATGGCGCGGCCCACCCCGTCCTTTAGTGACTGATTTACAGGGCGCAACCTGAATTTCTTCAGGTATTTGGATCGAAAGGCGAAATGGATGAAATTGACGGTAAACTAGGGAGCCCGGAACCTGAGACGCTCATGCCGTAAATTACGTGGCCAGAGGTCGCATTCCTAGGAGAACGTTGGAAGAGCCCGGATTAAATCTTGGAGAGTTATTCATTGAAGAAACTCATTAATATGTTAGCACTGTTTATTAACTTAAAGGCATTATGGGCCGGTCATGTCTCTTAAAGAAGCAGACACCAAACACATCCGAACCCTTCCGAGTTTGGTTTTTATGTCCCGAGGCACAGACGCCGCCTGGTCACTCTGACGCCGCCCCTTCCCCCTACGCGGTTCATGTTACATTTCGACGTGTGTCAACTTGGAAGTCTTCTCCAAGAAACGAGTGGCTACCCGCCCGCTACTCTCAAACTGCTGCCTGGCTATCGCCAGCAAACTCAGAATTTTTTCCGAAGAATATTGTATTACAGGTGTTTAACTCTGCAATACACGGTTGTGATACCTCACTTCATTCGTGATTAGAGCAGACACAGATTTAAATTTCAATCAAGTAAAATAAATAATCAAATAAATGAATGTATATTATGGCTTCAACCAAATTTCAAGATAGCATGAAAGATCAGCGTCAATACATACCAGCAAATACTGTTATTGATATGTACCAGCTGAAGTCTTACATCTGACAGTGAACTTTATGTTCCCACTTTGGGCTTAAACCGAGCATGACAGCAATGACAAACATACTTGTAGAAAAATGAAAAATATCAGTGGGCCTACTAATCCCTGATCTCATATATCCATTTTCCAGCTATGAAAATTATTTTTTTTTTCACAGTTATTCTTTAACCTCAGAAGAGCCTCTTCAAGTGGCAAATATTTGAGTAACTGCTGAAACCAAGCAATTTAGAATGTTATTTACGGTTCAAAAATTTAACATCACACAAGATCAGCATGTTACTACGAAAATGACTAGGGCCCTCTGCCAGAAGAACACAGGATCTGTTAAAATTAAACAGAGACCAATTAAGATGGGTGGTAGGAATCTTCAGAGGAAACCATCACCTAGAAGGACACCTAGCAAACTTGGATTGACAGATGACCCCACTTGTAAATGGTGCCTGGAAAAAGTTGAATCAGCCACACTTTTCCTATGTGACAAAAAACAAGACCGTAACTATCAAACAGTAATAAAGTTCTGGTTGCAAGCCCCAGATGAGTGCTTATGCCAAGACAGACTGGTCGACTGACTGTTGATTATAAAATGAGACTCAGACTCAGACTCAGACTCATGAAGAGGCACTAATTGACTAACCGTTACAATATGATTCTCATTCACTATGCTTCCATCCTTGTGGTGATCTGCAACCCAGAGTCACAGGTTATGTTCTACTTGGCTGGAGGTGTGAGGTATTTGTGTTCGTAAAAAATTCAAAGTAATTGTAGAAACATGGAGATGGGAACTTCTACAGTGTTTCAATAAAGAGCTTAAGAAAGTCATGAAAATACTTACTCCAGATAGCCAATTCCCCATCACCATTCAGACCAAACAGTCACAGACTAATTCCTTATCACTCTGCTGAACTTACTCAGTAATTTGTAAGTCCATTTATTTAATTAAAATAAATTGATGAAGTTGTTAGCATTCCTGCTTTTTATTTCAGATGAATTCGGTTTGAGTTTTTGCACATGCACACATGTATGCATGTGTGTGTACCCAGTATGAAATTTGAACTTCTGCAGTGGCACTAAACAAGATGGTTTGGAGATAACACATTAAGACTTGTCTTCAGGAGATGCTCAGTTCGAATCTTGGTTTGGGAACCTGGTATCCTGACTAACGATTTTCGTGGTTTTCTTCAGTCCTCCCATTAAATGTTAGGATAGTGCCTGTGTTAGGCCCTGACCACTCCTTTCCAAATCATTTCCATTTCATTATTCATCCTTCATCATATCACCTGACACTGTATAGTCTCAGTACTGAAAAATCATCATTAAACAGTCCACTGAAAAATATTCTGTAGCCATGCTGGTTGTTTCAGGCATCATGACTCTCCAATGATTCCTGGTCGACTGGCACAATACTCACTTGCACTAAATGCAATCTGTCGAGATCCAAGGCAGTTTCATGGCCATGACCTCATTGGTGAGTTACAAGAGTGCAGATGAAGTCAGCAACAAAGATATCACTTATGTTACCAGCATTATCTTGCATAAATCTAACTTTAAGATATAAAGACTAGTCATGTGTGAGTCTCAAATTTTTGAGACACAACCAAAAACGATACTACTTTGTTATTGATTCATTATCAGACTATGGGAAATTTCAGGTAATGGCTTTTGCTTTGTGCAATACCATGCAAACTACCCAGTCCATTATGCTTCTGTATGTTGGAAACTTGCTAGAACAAGCATGTCAAATTCAACTTGTACAGAGGGCCACCTCAGCCCTATAAATAATAATTGAGGGCCGCACTTCAAAACAGAAATATACATTAGATTTTGATACAAGGAAATTTAATTCTATTTATTATTTAGGAATAATTTCAATATAATTACCTAAAGTGGAACACTTGTATTTTGCCCACAAATCAAACATGTATTTACCTTCTATTTCACAACAGAAATAAGCGATTTCCCATTTTTCTTGAAAAACACGGCACTAACTTTCAATAGTTCTTTTTTTGCTACTTGAATTTTTTGAAAGTGACATTGCCCTTTAAAAGTTACTGTACATATACAAGAAAACTCGTAGTTGATAATTTAATGTATACTTTATGTATAATTTATACTTTCATCACAATGTAACATCAGCACCTGTCGCTGTGTGAAAATGAACTGAATGGCAATGTACAAGAGACTACCGGACTAGTAGGAAGGTGTATCTTGTCTCAATGGTCATAAAAGTGGAAGTTTGCTAGCAGCCCATTAGACAATGACTGGGGGTTGCAAGCTGGTTTTGAAGGTAGAAATCCCTTGCACTTGTCTGTCAGTTGCCACCCTCCTTGCATTCTTACTATGCCTCCAAAAGGGATTCTTGGAAATACTTGGGGTGGTGAGGCTGTGTGGATTTTAGTGCATTAACCTTCTGAAATACAATAGTTTGTCCTTCACGAATTTTACAGACCGTTAGTTGGACAAACCCTTCTGCAATTCTCAGAATCACTTTTCCTGCAGCCTGCTAATTTATGTCTGCGTGAGACTTCTTGTCTTCTCGTTTGTTGGAAAATTGTCTTTACAAAAATATTTCTACTAAAATTTTAATATTGATTTTAATATCAATTAGCTCTAAAAGTTAAGGGGCCGCATGTTTGGCACGGCTGCACTAGAATAAATCGGTCTGTTGGTCACCCCTAGCCCATAGTGAAAAAAAAAATATTATCCTGGAATTTATATATTTTAATATAATGATTTATGAAAGTTTTCATTGAAAAAGAGTCTGATATCAAAAGCAACAAGTAGTAAACTTTGCTGCATTGTGAAAAAGTGTCTAATGTTGTAAATTTTCATTACAATAAAAACATCTGTTTGAGAAAATTCTTGTTCACAACTTAATTCTCGAAACTTTTCCACATTCCTGATGATGTAAAAATAGAAGTCAGTTCATGCCTTTAAATAGAAATTACAACATGAAGAACTTACAAAAAAAGGGACATTGTCCATTGCTTGAGGTACATTCCACTCAATGGCTTGCAGTTTAATTTGTGTCCTTTACTGGAACTAGTATTTATTTTCCAAAGTTTTGATCAAGGGTACTTCTCGTGCTTGTAGCTACAGCTACAGGCGAGAACATTACAACTGTATTTAATCTAAAAGGAAATTTATTTTTCTTTATTTTGTTACAGAACATATGCCACTTTTCCATTCATTGTTCTTTCCTTATTTCATGCATAAGAACGAAAGCTTGCATGCAGCCAACAATACAATATCTGTATAAGTCAGTTTTTAAATATATCTTAGACAGTAAACAATGTCCAAAATAATTCAAGTGTACACAGTGTTGATAAAAGCCTCTACAAAATGGTATAGGGATAAAGACATGCCATTTTTAATTGGATTGTTATTGACAGCAAATAGCATCTTGATAGTCGAGGAATAAAGCAGAAATAAACTATTAACTAATTTGTTATTTAACTACTAGGATCACTTCAACACCATGAGGCAGCGCTAGATTTTGAGTTTGCATTCTCATCTTTGGCTGTATGCAGCTCAGGGACACATGTCAGGAAACGGCAAATCAGAAGGCTTCTGGACATTGCTGTGATGCCAGGTGATCACAATGCTGGTAAGCAGAAACACATTTTGTTAATCATAACTAACTTTTAACTTCATGGAGCTGAGCCCTTCTTGAGAAGCTGCCAGTTGTACAGCTACACAAGAACTTCCCAGCATTTTACAGAACCAAAACGTTCACCACTGTATTCACAAGAGCCCTCCAGCCCTTACCATCCTGTCCAACTCTCTAAGATCCATTTTAATATTATTAATCATAACAGCTACACAGTTTTTCAAGAAAATCCTTCCAGCCATCTTTTTTATATTCAGAGGTGTGCCTAACCAATTTTGTACCCTAGACAAAATATAAGACCTATTCCCTTCCTCCATATCCTCCTGTTAAATGAAAGAACATGCAAAATTGGAACACATTTTATTGTACGTACATTATCTTTGAGTCAAAATTTAGGAAACAAAGTGTGGGATGTTGAATCAATGACACTGAGAGACAAGCACATATAAATATAACAAATGTTTATTGATGTTAGAATGAATATTACAGACTCTCAGGGGAGCGGAGTGTGCCTGATGAATATCGGCAAAAACTCCCTTCTTAGTGGACTAGCCTGAGATAGTGACAGTAGTGATATTTTTGTCTCTAAAAAGGACTGTCTGTCAGAAGCCGAATGATGGGCGAAGCTCTTGTCTCAGCGGTTAGCCAGTGCTAGCATGGGAGATCTCCCTTGCAGCAGCATGCTGATTGCGAGCCAGCAGGAAGCCAATCGAAGCTCTAGCAGTAACAGGCTAGTTAGGGCTAGTGGTAGCCCGAAGCTCCTGCCACAGTTGGCTGGGCTGATGAGTGCTGGTGGAGTTGGCTATGGTGCTGCTACTAGTAGACTCGCTGTTGCGGTGTTCACTTGATGCAAGCATAGTTGTGACAGATGATAGCAATGCTAGCAGGTCCTGCTACTAGTAGACTTGCTGTTATGGTGTAAGATTTGAGGCTTTCACGGCGGTGACTATGAAGAAAGCAGTCTTCTGGGATTTGGCACCATGTATATGTGGTGTTAACACCACATATACACGGTGCCAAATCCCAGAAGACTGCTTTCTTTGCTGTTATGGTGTTCACTCGATGCAAACATAGTTGTGACAGATGATAGCAATGCTAGCAGGTCAGCAGTTTTATACTCTTGTCACTAGGCAGCACCCTGACCAATGAGCGTTGGAACTGCCATGGTAAGGGCTGATCACATAGTGCTTGCTTCATTGTGAGATGCTCCTACAGCCTCTTATACTTCCTATGCCTGGTTTCTCGTTTTTCAATACCATTTATATTTGGATTTACATGGTTTACAATTAGTTCTGATTGTGTCCTGCATAATTGAGTTCTGTAATGGTACACATAAAGAATTTTGAAAGTGACGTGCAATTCACAGACTGGTGTGCACCTGTCAAGTATTCCAGTCATGCAGAATACTCTATTCTGCAGACACTGGAGTTTCAAGAGGCGAGTAATGATGCTGCAACCATATTTGCTTGAGTGAAAGGATGGTTCTAAGTGGTACATGAAGTTATTCAAAGGGTTACTCAATACAGTTATCCAAAATTTAATGATAATGCACCGGTCCGTGCTAAACAACATGGGAAAAAGATGCTCAGAAATTCAGGCTCTTGTAGAGACATATAAGTCCGCTGTCCCTCGCCCTCTATCCAGCCATCCATCCATCAACCAAACAGCATCCAAAGAGACTGACAAAATGTCATTTCCTACAGTGAATTTCTGCCACTGAAAACAAGGCCACCAAAGACAAAAGGTATGTACTCAAAACATGAAAAATGAAGAGAAAGAACTTACTGCTGCAAGGGAATGTGAAGCAGGATTGTGTTTCAGGGGTCATCACACAAATCTGCACTTCTATCTGGTTGCATTATTCATGCACGTATACACTTGGTCGTCGACTTACAACCTATGCGACTTACGACCACAAAAAAATAAAAAGTAAAAATGATTAAAATGTAAATTTCTTAAAAATAAATTATAAAGATGATAAAAAGTTAAAAAAATACTGTTAATAAATATATGGCAGACATATGACCAGATCGGCTTACGTCCTGTCAATCAGAACGGAAGTCTGTCGTAAATCGACGACCAAGTGTATAGTGTTCAGTTAATAATGTAAGATATTAAAATAGCAATTTCTTATTCTCTGTGTAAAAAAAAAAATAAAATAAAATAAAAGTATCTCATATTATAAAAGGTTAATCAACTCTGTCCAATATGACTGATAAAATATTTTTTCTTTCTTTCCTTTTTAATCTTTCACCCTTGATATGTTTCGGTCTTAGAGACCACCTTCAGAAGGATATATATACAGGCAGGAACTACTATTACAAAGTGATTGGTCAATATCAATACATACATACAGTATCATTACAATGCCATGAATATAAAGTCTGATCCTTTAACAACTACAGTGAAGTGCATGAATATATTAAAATGTTTATAAATTTTTACAATTAGTTTGTTTACAAATGTGGTTTAAAAAGATTTTTGTTAAAATTTTTAGAACCAATTTGGTTCATTTCCTTGTTAAATTTGAGGTTCTCATGGCAGTGACTACAAAGTGTGCCACCTTCCTACATGTTACACCCTGTATTCTGGTAGAAGCTTGCTGATGCTTCTGAGGAATGTCAGTGAAATTCTACCAGATTGTATGTTGTGACATCGAAGAAGATAGTATTCTTCATGAAAACTTAGTGAATATAGGTGACATTGTAACTGAGATTCAAATCTAGTACATCTAAATGCATGTCAGATACACAGGCATTGAACTAAACTGGTTAGTTGATTATAAGTTCAGCTCTTTGTAATTTATATCAGAGCAGCTAACTTGAAAGTTGTGCAGTTTAAATGATCATTTGTAAGAAAACCAGTGTTGATAATTAACACTCGTTTCATTTCATGTTTCATGTTTTATAAGTGAATGTTTGTTCCTTTCTGTACTTTGCAGATACATTGTCTATGGTACTGCTGGCTCTCAACTGTATTGTGCGTGACCACCGGAACCGGAATTTGGATCACTATGTGAAGAAGCCAAGTACGCGGTTAGCAGAGGCTCAGCATGCAGATGGCAGTTTTGGCAATCTGCATAGCACAGCACTGGCTGTACAGGTATCACTATGGTATTTACATTGAAGTTGTTAAAATTGCAAACATTGCAATAAGATTTGACTATTTGCAAAACACTTCACAGTTAAGGAATGTAGAAAACATCCTTATCGAGGCCCCTCACGTTGTTAAAGTGGCAGTTTTTCTCTTCCCATGCAGCTGTACAGCAGCAAGACTGAATAGAGTGCAGGCATTTCTATATCTGCTATTGAAATTTCACATAGTTACCTTTTTTTTTTATTGCTAGTGGGGTGGGACTAAGTCTCTTGTATTGCGGCCACTTCTGGCCTATTGTACCAGTCCCAGATGATAGGTGAGGGTGATTGTGGAGCAATTGGTGGAATGCAAATTGGCAGGGGAAACCTAAGTCCTCTGAGAAAACCTGCCCCAACGCCACTTTGTCCACCACAAATCCCACTTGACCAGACCTGGAATCGAACCTGGGCCGCCGCGGTGGGAAGCCAGCGACTAACTGCTTGAGCTATGGTGCGGCCCTACATAGTTACCTTAATCAATTAAAAGAAACTGTGTCTCCCACCATATCCGTGAATGCATATGGATATAAATGAGTGGTAGATCATAACTTTCCTGAGTGTTCTATCATGTTTCTCCATGGCTTAATGTAAACAAAGCATTCCAAGCAGAAGTCATAAAGCCTGCTTTCTAATTACTTAATTTGCAGTGTTATGGATCTATTACCATTATTTTTGTTATTTCACTTTAGTGCTTCTAAGGGTTCTTTTCTTCAGTAGTCTCTTTATGATTAATTTGTCAGGCATACATTCAGAGGCCCACACTTTTACCATATTTGTAATTTGTAACTTACAAACAACATTTCACATACAGTATGTATGTACAATTAAGGTCTATCTCCTAGCTAGATTTCATGTGGTTCATAGTTATCACTGTCACACTGAACACTCAAGAAAATTTTCTCACAGCTGTCATGTTATTGCTTACAGTCTACAAAAAGATGACCTTAACACATGTTACACATTTTTTGAGGATCTCTTACCAACTATAATTTCAGAACCCTAAATAATTGTCATTAATGTCACTCCCACTTCACAATCTCAATTATGCACCATGTTGTTATTACTGACAGGAAGGAAAGTAGGTTAAAAAATTAAAAACTACCATCACAGTTGTATATCCAGTCTGTAAGCTGTACTTCTAGCAGACACTTTGGCAGAATCTGCCTCTTATCCCCCCCCCCCAAGCTGATATCTTCACCTTCCTATGTGGGACTGGCTAGAATGGTTGATATGACCGTGATATATACGGAGTTAACATATCGTGTCATGACAGAATAGTTTAACAAGGGTAGTCGTCCGTTGCTAGGCAACGGCCAGTAAACACTGATCCACAACCACAAATCAAAAAGCCACAATAGAGGAATTGTTGGGTCATGGCTCAGCAATTCACTGTTTTCTGTGTGGTCTGATCCAAGGCTATATAACGGGGACCAGCAAAGCAATGAATTAGTTGTGAGTTGTGGAATGCTAGCCAGCCAGCAATGATGTAAGAACAAGAGCGAAAGAATCTCTACTGTTGGGAACCATAACCGAGCAATGACTATTGAAGACTACAGTGACTACAGCGATCTGTTAAGCGCATACCTTAACAGTAGCACTAATATTATTGGTAGCTATAAGTTATAAGCTTTCTATAAATCCAGTTACCAATCTAAACCCTGTGTCTAGTCACTAACACAGGACATGAATCTGTTATTTGAAACATAGGGCTCATGGAGTGATGAAGTTAAAAAACATTGCTTTGGAGAGTACCTATCTGACTAACTCCATGCAACTCAGTCCCTCTTGAGACGCTAGCAGTCACTCAGCTACTCAAGAATTTTCCAACATTTCATGGAACCTGCCTATCCATGGCCAGATGATTCCAGTCCATTTTAATATTATACTCCCACTTATGTCTGGGTCTTCCTAGTGGTCTCTTTCCTTCTGCATTTCCAACCAAAATCCTATATGCATTAATCTTAATCCCATGTGCACTACATGCCTGCCCATCTCATCCTCCTTGACTAGATCTAATTATATGTGGCAAAGAGTGTGGAAGCTCTTCATCGTCTCTTTAAGTGAACCTATTAATTAGAAATTTCGTAAAGTGTAATTTAAATTTGTAATTTAAAAATTTTCAGTGTCTCTTGTTGCCAACCACTGCGGTTGTGTGGTCTAAGGCATGAACTGTCTTCACATGCTTGAACAGTGGGATCATGGGTTCGAATCCCACTTCAGACATGGATGTCTGTGAGCATTTATTCTGTGTTTGTGTTCTCCTGTGTGTAGATAGTGGCCTTGCAATGGGCTGATCTCCTCTTCAAGGAGTCATACCGACTGTGTATAGATTAAGTAACTGAAAAGCATCCAGGGTCCACAAGGGCTGTAGAGCCATACACAGATGTCTCTTGTTACAGGCTTTGGAGGTTGCAGATAGTGAGCTCTCAGGCAATGGTGGCAACAGTGGCCCAGTGCATTGGAATCGCAGCAGTGCTATCAACTACCTGGTGTCACATCAAGCACCTGATGGCTCCTTTGGTGATGTATTCACCACTACTGAAGTTATACTTGGCTTGGGCCCACGGCATTTGAGCTCTGTCAGAGACCTCAACTGTGGTGGTAGTAACACTGCTGGTACTTTTGCAGCCAGTGGTTAGTACAGTAACAAAAGAGAAGTGTTTCTTGTAGTACACATCAAATAATAGAGAATTAAGCAATCAATTTGGTTATTAAATCATCACCACATTATCGTTTCAAGCTGTATTTAAATTTTTGTGTAGCACACTCTTCACGTGGTGTTCAAAACTTCCCACTTTTTTAAACTATCCAACAAAATTAAATAAATTTTTGGAAAATTTATTATAGCATAAGCTTCATCATATTTGCACTGCTTTTCTTATTAGCTTGTCTGAAGAATGTTTAGAACTAAATGAAGCAGCAATATTTATTAACAGAGTACAGAGACTGCCAATTGAAAAGAAAATATTTCTTGCCTGTATATAGCAATTGTTATAAAATATATGTGACAGGAATCATCATGGGCTTAGAACATGTTGAAATTCATATATTTTCAGTATCTCAACAGAGAGCAGCTGTACAAATATTTTTAAGATTCTGCAGACCATTTACTCCTACACATATAACCACTGTATGAGCAGGGTAGTGAGCACTGTATGTGGGTAAGAGGAACTGGTTTGAGGGGTTAAACTCCTATACCATTTTCATATTGCATGCTGCATAATACTACACTTACATTTAGGTTACTTCAGACAAGTCAGTAGGTCATAGTTTAGCCTTGGGCCATAGTGATTATTTACTTTCAAGTTAGAGTTGAGAGGGTTTTATATTGACTGTACTTAAACTCTTCTTGCACCACTCGTGGATTTCAAAAAAATATTAATGGAATTTAACATTTATTGTCAGGTGTATATGTAGAAGTAGAAGAAAGGTCATTTTCTCCACATATATAACATGAGAGGTTTCACTAATCCTGTGCAGTGTATCTTAAAGTTACAAAATTAATATAACCAAAATAAAAGTGTGAGCATTATATTTAATTCTGGAGGTAGCTAGAAGAACGAACTTCAGTAACATTATAGAAACAAAATGACAAGCAGTTAACAAAAGCAGGCCATGAGGTAGTAACAGCATTAGTTTTGTTCATTTTAGGGATATTAGACTCTGAATAGAGACAGTTGTTTGAAGAACATGGAACTTGTTTCAAGGCAATATTTTTATGAACATTATGTGGAGACTGCATAAAATGTTTTGGTTTATTAATAGTAGATGAATTACTGTAAGTCATATGCAAAATTTGTATGATGATATGTTAAAAATACATGCACCAACTTTGATTAGGCATTTCTGTCTTCCAGTCTGCTACACTGTTATGAGCAGAGGTCTAGGAAAAGTGACACAGGTCAAATTTTGACATGTAAAAACACTCTTTATTTGCTAAACATTTCATTATAGAGATGACAAAAGACTGATGAAAATACCTGGAAGCTTGGTACGTTGTACTATTTTACGTGACACTGAACTGGTTGTTATCCTCATGGCACATTTTTTCAAGTTCCTTTTTAATATTATTCTTCCCTTTGTCTTCATGTGGCTACTTTCCAACAAGTTTCCCCAGGAAAATTCTGCATGTCTCTTAGTTATGAAGACTGAATTATAAAGAAATGATAATGGGTCCAGTGATTGAGACTAGCTCTTTCTAATGGGCCCAACTGAGTAGGTTTATCCTTCCCTACCCAGCTGAAGATGGAGACAGATCCAGTCTCTGAAACGTCATGGTCTTTTGTCTTTTACATACCAGACAATGGCTGAAGTCCAAAACAAGCCAAAAGAAGTACGATAATATTTTTGTAGATGTGGCATCGTTTATAGTCATAGTGTGTTACCTTCTGAATGTTCCTTTGAAAAAATAAGAGTTGCAAATATAATATGAAGAGAATGCAAGCGTATATTGCTACTTAACATATAATTATATTTCTTTATATCTGTTGCGCTCCCTACCTCCTGAATAGCACAGTGTTAAAGATCATCTTTGTTTGTGTCGGTCAGTATGACTAACAGAAAGCAGCACACTTATAATACAACAAGGAATTATGATCTTAAAGTTTAAAGAATAAAAGCAATGATTTCTCAAAAGACAAAACACAACAATAATGATATAAAGTCACAGACAGGATCAGTAACAGTAATAGGTAATGAAATAATAGATACATTTCAATGTTATTATGTAGAATATAAGCTATCTTAAATAAAAATACAAGACACAAAGAGAAAATGATATTGTTCAGGGAGTCGCATAAGGCTGAACATGTAGTATAGATGGGAGAAATAATAGGCATAGGATTTTGGTGAAACATGTAAATTCCTAATGTGCTGAAGTTTTAGTTGTTGACAGCTTCAATGTTAATTGCGTTTCAAGGACTTACAATCCATTATTAATTTTTTTATGTAATTCTTGATCTTTAAAATTAGCAACTCATCAAAAAATATAAGTTCTTTTGTACATTTAATTTGTCCATCTTCATTCCAGCAGTTAAGAATGTCATAGGGCTACATAATAATATGGTGAAACTCAGTAACTATTCAGTCTCATAGAGTTCATGCTGTGTTTTACCAGATACACTCACATTTCCATAACTTTTCACATGCTTGAATGACTTACTATTTTCTTACTTTTCATTAGATATTAATTAATATTTCAGTTGCGAAACTTCGGCCATCAGTAGCAGCAACCCATCCCCCTTCTGCTCCAGGAACTGCTGTCTCAAATGTGACAGTGGAGGGCATAACACCTCGAGAAAATCCAAAAGAAGAGGAGACAGTGATTGTGACATACACATTATGGGTTGGAACAAATGTCACAGAAAACTTCACTATCAATGTGATAGCTGAGAAGAACTCAAGTTTCTATCATGTGATGCAAATTGCTGCAGAACAGGATTCCCGTTACCTGTGAGTATTTGAGTGCTCTGTGTTTTTCTGACTTCTCCCCTACCTTGCCTTATTGTGCAAATATAGTATCTTAAAATGCCAACTATGAATACATTAATTATTAGTTTGTTTAGATTTGTTCCTTGTACCATATGAAATCTAATGCCAGACTCAAATACAATGAATTGAACAAAACCTCTAAACAGCATGGGTAGTGCATCTTTATGGGCTACTGGTATGCCCTTGAGCTTGGAGATCTATAAATGTATTTGGCATCAGGATAACTGACACTGGAAAGTCAGTAACAATGCTAGCTATACTGCCATGGCACTGGCTGAGGACCACTTGATTGATTAAAATGAAGTAATAACTTTGAAAAATGAAAAGTACTTTTAGGCTTCTAAAATTATATCCTCAGAGGAGTTGCTCAGAATTAGCTCATCTGTCAAAACCAGTTCTGGCCTCACTTTAAAGACTGCCAATTCCATCTCAGAAGTTAGGAGTTCTTACATTCCTGAGCATGTGAAGCCTTTTAATAAAAATTTTTTAATAATAATCTTCTTCTTAAGTATTTTTGTGAAAATAATGTTGCAAACAAAACAATTGCTGTCTTTGCTTCAATGATGAAAGTGTGTCTTATAAAGAATATTTTAACCGTGTAAGTAAAAAGAGTAAAGCTATCCTTGTATCAGGCCATGAAGGCCCATAGGGTTGTGAGATGTTGAGGGTCCCACATTATCTAGACAATCAACTCAAAGATGGCGGTAAGGTTGTCAGCCTTATGCACCGGCCGCACTTTACTCCCCAGGAAAATTATTTAATTAATTCCTGGCACTCATTTCTGTTAGAGGCTGAGTAGACCCCAGGGCCATAGTGCAGCTGGAAGGATTAGATCAACTGGAAAAATCCAATGACCTCATCGGGACTTGAACCCGCAACCTTCTGGCTTGTAGCATAGTGCCTCAACCACTACACTACCGCGTGCCCCTTTTTAACCGTGGGATCACTAAATTCTGTTATTCATAGATGTCAAACATTATTTAATGTTATGGCATCATAACTTCCCAGAGCAAGTTCAGGCACAAGATTGAATACGGCATTGCTGTTACGATTTCCACAGTAGATAAATAGACTTGGGTGTTAAACAGTCCTTGAACCACCACCAGCCACAACCTATTGTAGGTACCCAGTTGAAGACTAGTTCTCAAAAGTCCTGCATTTCAAAATAAAGCACAGTAATTTGCATAATGGGGCCTTCTGATTATCAGTGGGCTTCATGAAGCGGAAACCTAACAGTCACACAGGACAGGATGATTCATCTTAGCTAGGGTACCTTTCACAGGTGAAGCTGTTTACTAGTCCCAGTTTGAATGAGCTACTCTTCACATGCAGAGTCTGTAAGTAATCTAGTTAGTTGCCTCAGATGGTTCATTTGATGGGGAGTTCCCAAAGGAAGCCTTTCACATGTTTTTGTGTAAGGTACAGACTTCCAGTATTCTTGGTGGTGAATATTGTTGAAATAATTCAGGAACACACATGTGCATGCGCACAGACAATGGAACTCAAATCCAATTTAAGTTTCCTTGATTTAAGATTTTCACTCAGTTGCAGTGGCCTCAAGTCAGCAGTCTCAAAGTCAGATATCCTCCATTTGAATGTTCAAATCCATTGGTTCACTCATAAAAAACTAAAATGGGGATTTCACTGCATGTGTATGATAAGGTTATAAGTATGTTGCTGGGGTGTGCCAGTGGAAAATGTAGACCCTGAAAATGGCAGAATCTCCAAAACAAGAGGCAGACAATGTAAGAAGGTACATGTGCACAATCATGGAAAAAGAGAAAGATACAGATAAATGCCATGGACTCAGAATGTTGTGGTGGTGGTGGTCGTCTGCAAGCAAGCCTGAATGCTTTTTAATCCCTCTGGTAAAATGTGCCCATCTCACCACCTAAATGACCTTCTGTTCCCCTTATAGTGTTTGAGACATAAGCAAATGCAATTTTCAATTTTTGAGAATTCACTCACTTTTATTTACTGTAACATTACACAGCTGATACAGAACATGTAATAGTAAATGTTTCTTCATATTTATTCAGAATACTATTAAACATTAGAAAGGAGGAATAAAGCAATATAAAAGTTGTTTGCATTTTTATTTTTTATAACAAAATACAATAAAAATGTACAATATACATTTACATTTAAAGTGTTCAAAATCTCTTTCCACTTGTGTGTAACTGCATCATTTCTTTCATGGTCTCAGTAGCAGTCATTCACCATAATTGGAATCCACTTCCCATGGTAGAATTTCTCCTTGATAGAAATGTCCTGATGGAACCTTATCCCATGCTCAGTGGTGGCGTCTACAAGGTTTGTTGGAAAGCATTCCAAGCGCAAATGAAGACAGTATGTTTTCAGTGACATACTGTACTCCATAATTCTGTAGATTGCTTTGCTTTGTGTTTCCTATCTGTACAGAAAGTTGTCAAAAGCCAATCTGAATGCCACCCACATTGTCTTCTCAGCTCCTTTCTGAACTTCATCAGAATTTCTGATATTCTTAACCTCCTTTGTCTTAAGACTGAAGATCCCTTCTTTTGTCTTTGCATCACTGATTTGTGGAAACTTTTGTACCAGATACTGAAAACCTTCTCCATGTCATCTCATGACCTTAACATAAATTTTCATCATTCAAAACTTGATGTGAAGTGGGGGGAAAAATATTTTCTGTAGGTGTACAAGTGGGTCATTTGCAATATTCTTTTGCCCAGGATTGAACTGTTGTTGATGAGGGGTTTCCCTCACAATGACTACGTCTTGTGTGACTGTCCTCTTCACCATAGGCAGCAGCAACCTTTCGTATAACAAAGCTGCATGCTGGATAGAACAGCTGTGACTTACGAATCTCCAAGAGTATTCATTATATTGTATGCAACAGAGCATGAGTTCATATTTTCATGACTCTTTCATGGTCACAGCATGTTTAGCAGGAATTGATAATAAGGTTATCCATTGTGACAAAGAGCCTTCAGACTTAACTGTGAGGAATCAGTTAAAATCACCAATCTTCAGGCTTATGCTTATGTACGAGTATGTTCTCACTAGTTGGGCGTATATATGTATGTAAGGACATGGTGAGAACATACATATGAAGGGAGCACAAACATGGATACCACAAAAGAAAAAGAATGTGGAATGGAGAGAGAGTTTTGTTCTCAAACAAACATAATTTAGTGTGAACAATAATAATGATATAGCATGGAAAAGCACTGATTTAAGATCTATTGCAGTGCTACAGTTTCAGAAAGTAAACAATTGCCTGAAGATGGCCAAGTAAGGCCAAAACATATCATAGCAATTGATGTGAATTTAATGTTATTTTATTTTCAAGAGAGATTGTGAACAGTGTTAAGTTGCATTAAAGACAGAGGTGAATGAGTGAGTGATACAGCAATGCAACAGGATGCTCAAATATAATATTATATTACTACTAATTTTATGCCCCAGTGTGACATATTAAAATTTGTAAGTCATAGTAAACAAATAAAAGTCACACATCTAAAGACTAAAGAAGATTCCTTCACATGATATTAGCATCTACGTTCAGCAAAATTAACACATAACTTCAAGGTTAGAAGCCTTCAGTACACTGGAAATTATGCTGTTGTGTGTGGGTTCATGAAGAATTAAATTAGAAATTCTCAGACATTTTGCTATATGAGGTACTTTTCATATCAGTTGATGAGAAGTACCTCATTTAACAAAATGTCTCCATTACAATAAAATTTTACTTGTAATGAAGAGAAAAGTAACTTTTCAGAAAGCAAAACAGCAGGACTTGCAGGGGAATCTTGAGTAAAATTCTATAAATTACAGTTTATTTTGTCCAGGAAGCAAAATCTTTGTTGAACAGCATTAATTGATAACACAGTGAAAGCATTGTAAGTTGGCAGATCAAAATATACTTACAGCTTTGAGGCAACTGAGTGGCCAAATGGACATTATGTACACACCATAGCAGGCCACAAGGAGGAGCCGTCACATTACCATTATTGGCTGCTGTACCAGGTGCCAAGTCTGCCTGATCCTGCCAGCCCACCAGGAAACAATCTCATCACACCTGTTGGTCAGTGAGCATTGCCATCTCAAATATCAATATCAGTATCCACAGTTCATTAAAAATGCTCTCTGAATTACAAGCTTTATGTAGAATTAAATGAGATGAGAAGAAGATGACCACATATGGTAAATTAGAATTTTCTCAAAAATTGTTCCAGATGTTTTGTTCATAATCATTCCATAGTAGAGTGTCTGTTATAACCAGTAGTTTTTTATTCTAGAAATAGATGTGCCAGTGCACAGATATGACAAATGAGCATATTTTTACAGGTTACTGTCAACAAAAAATAAAATTTCAAAATATTGAAAGAATATTATTTTTAAAAATATGAATAACAAACATCAGTATAATAATTGTTGGATTTTAGGTTATCCTGGCAGTGTCTATGAAGAGTTCAGTCTTCTGAGTTGTAGTTCTGTGTTGTTCAGAGAGTGTCCAACGTTTTAGATGAACATATTGCCTCTAGTGGGGTCAAGGAGTAAGCCATACAAGAAACCAGCTCAAGCAGACAGCAAGTTCTTACTTTCCCCTTCTTCCAGTTTCTTGCTGGGTTTACCCCTTAACCCTGAAGATGGATATGTTACTCTGAAGTGTCATGTTCTCTCCAAACTATGTGGCATTAAAAGCCAGTACACCATAGTCTCCGTACAATAAATATAGCACAGAAGATTCTTATTTTCTGCATTTCATAAATAAATGTATCAGTAGGATGAACCATTTTGTATTGCCAAAAAGGAATAGAAAGCTAATAACTAACTTCTCTGGTAAGAGAACATGGAAACTTAACTGCTGATAATACCAGAAAGTGGCAATGGAAATTATTTTGCACTAGTTTATATCATCAGTGTATTTTCTCAAGGTCTATTTTTATATCATTTTGCTACTTCCTTAGTCTTCCAAGTAGCTGCTTTCAAACAATACCCTAAAAAAATATGTGTCCTTTCTTGTCTCTCACATCCCATTTCAGGCACACATCATACATCCGCTCATCATAATCTGTACAGATTATGAGGTTCCATGTAATGTAATACAAGCATAAAGCCTAGTGAAATTTCTGCAGGAAATTTTTACAGTTATCAACATCAAAATTGGGCATATTATACTTATTCCTTGTGATTCCCTCTAATACATATAAATTTTGATGTACATTCTGAAAATATGTCATTCAATATGCTGGCTGGGAACACGAAAAAAGTTTGGGAAGGAATCAAGATTCTGAACTTGTTACAATAACAAAACTAAGAGGTTCTGCTATCCAGAGGTATTTTGGCAAATGTAAACACAGTATTGCTGACTCAGCATACATTCTACTGCTGTTCAATGATGTTCTCTTCTGTTCCTATTCATAATTACTGACATTACAAGAGGGCATCAAGTGTTAACCTCTCATATGCATGAATCTTAACTTCTCCACTTTTTAATTATAACTTAGCAACAGTTATCTTTACTCTTTTTGTAGGAGTCGATGGTTTAATTGTTGAAGATGGAGATCATTACCTTTTCTGGTACAAGAAACTCTGAGTGCCACAAGATCCAGCATACACAACTATATCTATTCCATCTTAACTTATTGAAGTATGTAACCTTCAACACTGAACAGCTGTGACATGGTTTCGGTAAAGACTTGGAAATTACTTGATGGTGTATTAATTCAGTAACTTTTATGTAGACTGAGAATTTATATGCATATTCTTTATTCTGTTTTTCAAAAGTTGTCATTTCATCCACTTCCTAGCTGGATGGAAAATGTTCACATTCCTGCGTGATTTTTCAACATTACTTTTACCATGTTCATTTGTCTTGGTTTACTGAAACGTTATAGAAGGTATGATGAAATTACAGAGATTGTGGTCTTTAAGCTCGGTTCACTGGTTTGTTTTTTGGCTTATTTAATAATGCTGTGTCAACTTCCAACATAATATACTGTTAAACACACACAAAAAAAGATTGGGTTTGAGATTGGACACGCATGAAATGAAGTCTTTTTGAGCCATTTGAAAGCACTGTCTCAACATTTGCCTAACAGGAGAACCATATAAGTACTCAATTAGGACAGCCAGTCTCCTGGTTAATACTATAGCAGGGTAAATAAAAGATACAAAGCAAGAGTACTGCCGACTGCCTGTTGTGTTTTTCAGTGAAGTTGATCTGAATATCCCATGAGGAGGAGATGAGAGTACCATGGAAAATCTCATTGTGCTGTCCAGTAGGCCCCACATTCAGCATTACTAATATAAAAAGTGACTTTTTGTCATGAGAATATTTTGAAATGTTCTTATACTCAAATTAATTTTCTACAAATATTGTCACTCTTTACATCATTACATCCTACTTTTGTCACCAACTTTTCCTGTCATTATATTACAATACACTGTAAAGCAGTTAGCTTCTAAGCTGGCTTTTTTTACACCAATCTCAGAAGATGTTCCATAAAACTGTATTTAGAGTTGTTTGATGATGATGTAGCACAAATTTTAAACATTTTTAAACACTTCTTTCTTTATACAAAATCACAGAATTTTGTAAATCCATTATGGAACAAAGAAATTTAAGTTAAATGTTATTTGATGATAGTATGACACAGTCCTTATGGATTTTTAGACGTTCTCTGTTCTAGTTTTCTTTTAATACAGTAATCTTTTCTTTTTAGTAGTATAAACAACACAACATTTTCAAAAGAGTACTGTGACCACCTCTGTTCCTGCAGAATAAGTTCAAAGTTATTTGATGATGGTATAACAACTTTCAAGCTTTATATTATTATTTCTATTTCCATCATATTAGTTTTTCATTGTATAGAACTGCAATATTTTGGAAAAGGGGACTATGTCCATCTTGAGGTGGACAGAATATGAAGGTATTCATACTTTATCAGTCCCTTGGGAAAAGCTATTCTCATATCCTAGACAGGTCTGTCAAGGGTCCCACCACAGTAGGTATTTCTTTATACCCTCTCCACCTCAATATAAGCACAATACTCATTCCAAATTGTTGTGATTTTTATTTTTAAAAAATCAATGTTCAGGATAAGTATTCTGGATAGATTCTACAATTTTATTAACATGGTTGTTATGTAGAAACCTTTGTTATCCTGTAAGCTGAAAAAGACTACTTACACAATTGATATAATATTCATGACCTCTATGGTCTGTTTGACATCTGTCTGGGCTTTGAAGTGAACAATTAATTAACACAGTGTTGATGACTGTTCAAAGATTTGTGACCATGGCACAAATCTTATATCAAATATACCTGAGACACTGACCTATGCCCAGCATGACATTCATGTAGTCAACACATTGCTAAACCCTGCTTCAGGTAAGCAGCTTTGAACATCTTCAGTAAAATGTTATCACTATTTAGTAAACATCTTCTCTATAATACTTTCGCTGTTACATGTGGATCTGTTCACCATGCAGAAAAGTACATTAAGTCTTATGGACAGAATTACTATGCCAAATAGACATAGGCTCTAATATGTATGTTTTTATTGTGAAAATTTCCTCAGAATAAAACAGGTTTAGTAAAAGGTGAATAAGATCATACTTGTACATGCATTTAAAAGTTTGAAACTGTTTTATGTATAATGACTAATTCAGCAGCAAACATCTATTTTCTTGTAACAGTGAAGTATGTAACTACTATTAATTATACATTTACTCCAATCACAAATATAATTTCTTAGTTTTACAGTTCTTATTCCATTCTGAACCACCTTGATTCATCATTCCACATTCAACAGACTGATACAACTCCATGTAGCTACTGTAGATTATGCCATTTGCGCAGGCCCCGTGAGGTGATCAAGAAATGTATTAATTTAGAAGTATACATGTTTGTACTTTAAAATTATATATTTTTCTAAGTTCAGTAATATTCTGCAATGATTATTGGGTTAGTGCCTTTTCCCAAAGATATGAAGTCAACGCAGTTTTTGCTTAACATTACATATGAATTCTCAGTCTCATATTTTTGTGAAAATACTGTAATGCAGTTCTTCAATGTGATGACTTCATAACCTCTTTCATACATCTATACATAGATCACATTTTTAACATTCCACATTTCAGTTACATGTGAAACATTTTCATTTTCAATTTGAGGGAAGGTGTCGTAAGTATACACATATTATATTTAGTAATCTAATTTATACAAATTTGTTTGTTTGTATAATATTCATATACACATATAATAGTTTAAATGGTCTTTATTACTTTGAGCTCCTAACAAAAGAAATGTATACATGCAAGGAAGACACTCTTGCAGTAGAGTCATGAGCCTTGTTTTATGTCTTTGAGTGGTGGAACATTACAAAAACAGGCTTAAAATTATTTATACTAAAATAATGTGAAGTTGCCAATATTGTTAATTTAAACAGTAATGTAAACAGTATTGAACTTTGAACATAGCTGCGAAATCTGAATACAAGTGGGAAAATTTCTTGGTTTTGAGGTTCTCACAATGGAGGCTGGAAGTGTACTACCTTCTAGGATGTAATTTTGTGTAATCTGCTAGAAGTTTACTAATGTTTTGGAGGAATATTCTGCCTCAGTCTTCAGGCTCAAAGAGTAAGCCAAGCAAGCAGAGCATTGCTACTCTGGTTACTGCTTGCTTAGCTTACTCTTTGAGCCTGAAGATGGAGGTGTAATGTTTCCCCAGAGTGTCAGTAACATCTACCAGTTTACACAGCAGCATATCCCAGAAGACATTATGCTTCAAATGGGAGAATTGCTTCCTACATTAAGGAATATAAGGTTATTCTTGTGTTCCATCTGGAACGAAGAAGCTTGTGTAATTAAAAGTTTTATCACAGTGTGGAAGTCACTGGTTTATGTAACAAAGAGACAATTTGATATAAAATACAATTTTTTGTGGCTTCAGTTTCCCACATGTTCTGTTACTGAAAATCATTTGTATCAAGTGAATTCATATTTCAATTGCATACTTCCTTACAGTTCATAACCATAATAATTCAGTGTTCTTTCCTACCAGACTGAGATAAATCATATAATTAAGATCAATAAATAGTGCAGTTAGACAATTTCTTTATTAAAACCGTCACAACACAACTATACTGAGGTCAGTGCCAAGTTTGGCTCAGCTACATATTTCAGCTACCAAAAGCCATCATCAGGCAAATACATGGCCAACATACTAGGTGGTTCAAATATGACCGGGACTGATTTAAAAAAAAAAAATTGCCAAACACTTACTTGCACATGTCAGTCTTCAACGTACTCCCCTCCGGAGTCAACACATTTTTTTCAACTTTCTNAACCTGTCTTCTGCTTGGATTGGATCTTACTCCAAGTTCCTTGATAGTGATGCGCCTATTCTCACGAATAAGCATGTCTGCACGATCACTGTTCGGCTCGGTGATGGATGTTCGCGGCCAACGATCATGCAGTTCATTCTCCACGCGCTCTCTGCCCTCTCTGAAGCACTTACACCACTTAAACACATGGGTCCGTGAGAGACACTCTTCCCCATACTGTTGTTGGAGTCTGTGGTGAATTTCAGTGGACTGGACGTTTTCTCCGAGGAATTTGATCACAATGCGTTGTTCCAGGTTCCACAGTAGCTTCCGTTCTCTCATTACTCTAGCAACTTCCAGACAGGACTGAACAGGTTCTAACCCTAACAGGAGGGAGGGTGGAGGTTGTGGCTTCACTCTCGCAAGGTTGCACAGCTGCTGAGAAGTGCTGCTTGTTTACAAAAAAATCAGTCCCAGTCATATTTGAACCGCCTTGTATATACTCGTACACCACTGAACTGCAGTACTAGTAAAATTGGATACAATAATATTAATTATATTAAAATACTTGGTATAAAAGTACAATAAATTAGATTATATAAATGAAAGTTATAGTATAAAACAAGATTAAAATTCTTCAAGTGATGCTTTACATCATCGAGTCAGTCGTTGGTTTCTGTGATTTTGTTGTATTCCAATGGACAAATTGGAGTATTCTATATTTTGTGTATATGGAGACTCCTGTTAGAACTACACTAGAGCGATTGTTGTTTCCTATGCAACGGTCTGTTCTAGCGTTTCCATGGAAGTGACTCTTCTGGATTGCAAACATGTTGCAATATAATAAACTGTTTTGAAGGCTCGTTGAGTCGTTGTTTACATTCCCTACAGAATGGACAATACTTTGTGAGATGAGGCACTGATTAAATAATTAACATTAATATTACTACATCTAGATCACGAGCCTTCAAAACAGTTTATTATATATACACAAAATATAGAATACCCAAATTTGTCCGTGGGAATACAACAAAATCACAAAAACTAATGACTGACTCGATGATGTTAAGCATCACTTGAAGAATTTTAATCTTGTTTTATATCATAACTTTCATTTATATAATCTAATTTATTGTACTTTTAGGCCAAGTATTTTAATATAATTACTATCATTGTATCCAATTTTACTAGTACTGCAGTTCAGTGGTTTATATCCATGTATTCGCCTGATGATGGCTTTTGGTAGCCGAAACATGTAGCAGAGCCAAACTTCCCATGTAGATTTGTCCCCTTCCTTCCCTGCTCTCAAATAGCTGAGTTCATTTCCAACATTAGTCTGCTTGCACCTGTTCTCACTGTCTCTTCGCTTGCAGATTTTCTTATTTTTCCTTCTACCCTGAAGATGTAGGCGATACGTTCCTCTGAAACGACGGTTAACACCACATCTACATGGTGCCACATCCAAGATGGCTGCTTTCTTCAAATAAAAATATGTTCATACCAAATTTAGCATATTTTTTAAGGAATACCTTCCATGATATGTCACTCAACACCTGAATATCCATACTCCATGCTGTTGTCACTGATATTTTCTTCTTCATCAGAGCTGATACTCTGTTCATCATATGGAGAAATTTTCATATTTATTCTATCACTACTACATTCATTCTAAGAAATATCTCTGTATTAATAATCTTGCAAAAGTTCATATTAACACCTCATCATCACTCATATGCACCTTACTACTGGAACCTGCCATAATGTTTATTTGCAGAAACCTGAACCCAGGACAGCTATCAAGCAATCGGCACCCTGCTGTCTCACTCTGAAGTAACTAGAAGACCTAACAAGTATAACATACATATCTGCATTGCTGACTGTCATTATACCTACGATGACATAGTTGAAAATATGAATGACGTGTACAGACGTCTTACCCAAGAGAGACAGTGCAGGACATGTTAAGATGTCATACCCACTTCTTTTATGCTACCAAAGATATTAATATCAGAATTGTTTGGACTGCTGAACATTCCTTGAACTTCATGGTAGTCACGTAACATCCTTCCCCTAGATGAAGTGCGTAAGTTTTGCCATCAATGATGTATAATTATGGACACTGACCTTTACTAGCCTTTAAAGATGGTCTTCTGCCTTATTATGTAATCCAACCCAAACTGAATCCTTCTAGGATACTGGAACTTTGTTGTTGTTTCTAATGAGCAGAGGAGGAAAGTGTATATAGGTCATAAATTCGACCATAAAATCCACTGAAAGTTGCATCTTAATATTAAAAGATGAACAAAAGGAATGCTGTAACAGTTTTATAAAATAATACAAATGTAGAAACACTGAATCTTGAACCACTGTATGCATATGGAAACAACAAAATATGAAACATTACAGCATATTCCTTTTGCATGTATCTTCCAGTTAGCCTTTCAATTCAGTAACTAGATTTAAGATTTGGTTTATTCCTTAGAATTTCTTTATGGTGGCTCAGGGGCCCTGCAAACATAGAATGTGTTGCTCTGAGGTGGATCTACCAAAGTCTAATTATTTGGAGAGAGAGAGAGAGAGAGAGAGAGAGAAACACACTTTTCCAAGATTTTGTTAACTAACAAATTGCAGTTTACTTCTTATTGCAACCTGTTGCTATATTCACTACCATTAGAAAGATTTGAGTTATGTGGCTCAAGTTCTTTTAGTATTTACATTATCATTATAGTGAATGCAGGTGTCTACATTTTTGAATAGCAAGAACAAATATTTCATATTGTTATCACCATGTTCTCAGAGTCTTTTGCTGCAGGAGAGAACTCAAATGTGATCTACATAAACCTGGAAGGTGAGGCTTCGTGCCTTCATTTAGATTAGTTCATTAATGATACAAGCTGTTATATCTAGGCATTGCTCATTTCAACATTTCATTTGTAGTCAAAATATTTAAAAATATGCATAACTTATTTTACTATCTGCAATAGCCATTTTAAGAGTTCTGAGAATTAAAATATATTAGTAATATAAACTGATTTAAAATCATTATTAATTGGATATTATATAAACACTTAGTGGAGAGTGAAGCGGTGATATGCATGGCATTAGAGCAGACATTTTTACATTACTTCATTGTAGAGTAGAATGCTGGATAAAGTGCTGTGAATGTATGAAGGCGTTTAAAGCAGTGGTTCTCAAGCAGATGTACTGCATGGTCACACTGAACAACATTTGGATTTAGAGATCATAAAATATATAAGGAGCATCTAAACCTGGACATGTACTAAGCATTTACACACAGAATATTTTCTTTACATTGTGCTGAAAAATTAATCTTAACACTTTCAAGATTTGGTCCCTTCCAAAATTGTCATATGCATCAAAACAGCCGATATTTACACTTGAGAATCACTGGTTTTGAGGCTCATTTCAATTATAAATATATTTTTTATTGCTTAGTCTCCAATATATTTGCATTAATTGATTTGAATATGCTACAACAATAACATTTGAAATTTCTTTATGTACATTCAAATATGGTGCACACCATTTAAAGTAAATCACTGTTGTTATGAATGCTTTGTGAAGCACTGGTTTTGTTATACTTATAGAACATTTCAGAACATCATAACATTTTTGATTTCCTTTGACAATATTATTATATTACATATGGACAAGTGTGCTTTTGGGTAAAGGTCACATATTTGTTCATAATACATACAGCATCATATCTCATGGTCAGGAAGATAATCAGTGTACTGTTGTATGCCATGTGATACTGACTCAGCCTGTGAAAAGTAGAGTAGTGTGATTTCATTACAGTGTTTCCTTCTCTTGATGGATGCAAGCTGTCAAACTCGTAATACCCATATAATACATTTTTTTACATAACTGCTTAAATTCATTCATATGCTGTTTTTACCATAGGTAGTTGCAGTACAATGTCACATACACACAAACACAAAAATACATATAATACACTTTCAATATAACAAATATAATGCCATCATATTAAAACTGAACAACTTATATCTTTAACAACTGTAACATGTTTGTTCTTTCACTCGCTGGTGTGAACTGTCTTATGTTGACAATAAGTAGATCATGTGTTTAAAGTTTCAATGAAATTCATTATTATTACTATTATCATCATTAAATTACACATTATAATTTTTCCAGTAATTATCCGTGGTCAACTTCCTTCCATAAATTAAAACTGCTATACATAGAGTATATAAACAGATAATGGTAAGTGTGGAACTGGGGATGCTGCCTACTGAAAAGTTTCTTGCTTTATATGGTTTGTGTGGTGGTGGTGGCAGTAGTACAATCAAGGGGATTATACTAGGTTGGCCTGATGGCTTAAATGTACAAGATATAGGTAACTTTGGTAGGGAAACCTGTTGTAAAGCAGCCACTTAAGAAACGGAGAAAGAGATGCGATCGGGGTTTCAGAAAATACATCGTGAGATTGTAAAAATGTATTAAACTGGATGAGGATCATATTTTTTATAGCAGGCTTTGGTAATAAACTTGTTGCTCATATTTCCAGAGAGTTAGTTATTAGACCTAATTAAGCAGAAAGAATTAAACAGTATTCAGTTTAAAGCCAATATCCACACTGATGAGCAAAAATACACTAATAACAAGGGACCGTGGTACATTCATGATGATTATGGTCTTCCACAATATGACATTGTGCAATTTGGTAAATAAGTATCAAAGTTTCGGAATAAGCTGCTGCCTTCATCTTCAGGGTAGAAATGTAAGCCACATGGGCAAAAATTAGAGTGGACAACAAGAACTGTAGCTAAGACCAAACCGGTGGGACTCCTTTTCCCTTCCTGCCTACATCTTCAGGTATTGCATATTTAATTTCATATTTTATTTTTTAAATATTTTGTGTCAAGTGACTGTAAAAAAAGTAAAAACTAAGCTATCCCTGTAACAGGCCATGAAGGCCCATAGGGTTGTGAGACACTGAGGGTCCCACATTATCTAGACAATCAGCTCATAGACGGTGGTAAGGTTGTCAGCCTTATGTGTCAGCCGCGCTTTACTCCCCAGGGCCTTAGTGTGGCTGGTAGGATTAGGTCAACTGAAGAAAATCCAATGATCTCATCGGTACTATGTGGATAAAAGCTGCTTCTCACTGTTAGTGAATTTTGCTAGACGAGTTCAGTTTAGATTAGTAGAAGAGGCAGAACATGAGAATAAGAGTATTCCAGTAGGAGCATGAGAAACTAGAATAATGAAGTTTAAATAAATAGCAGCATGGAGCACAGATGAATCTGTAAACATATAATTACATTCAGTGTAGGAAAATCTCCATCCAAAAGAGTCCCACTTACTGTGTTGTGCTGTCATGTATAGGCAGAGATATTACAAACAGCTGATCTTCAACCAATGAGTCATACCAAATATCTTAATGATTGCTTCCAAACTTATTAATTGGAATAGACAACAGAAACTAATTTAGGAAATGAAGAGAAAGCTGTAAAGAGTGATCAGGTGCAAAGTATAAGTAACTGCACAGGTCATAAGAAAATAATGGTTAATTTGTGGATAAATTTCATTTACAAGTGACTGCCTTCATGTGAAAGAATTACATACTATAACACTGAATATGGTAACCATTATAATAAAGTACCTCTATTTGAATCAAGTTCCATTTTCTTTTATGACCTTCCACATAAATATACTCTAGTCTGATTTTATCACAGTTCGCAAAAACTCAAGTGCACATGAAATTCTTATGGGTGATGATGCTCTTCATAAGAAGCATGGAAGGACATATTCCAACGGACTCGTGTTTTACAATACATTATCTTATATTTCATATATCCTTGTAACCTAGATGTTACTCTATTGAGAAGCAAATTTTTTGTTGCAAAACTCTGCTTGGAGTTAGAAAATATGTTTCAGGGTGAAAAATATTTCAAATAAAAGCTGTAGATCCATTTTAATTTTAGCTTCACAGAATATAGGAGATGTGTTGTACTAAAATTAATTAAGCACCATGTGTGTGGATATAGCTCCACCCTGGCAGTAGATGGAGGTGTTTGTTTAGCTTCACGCCACAGACACATTGCTTCCAGGGAAAGAACTTCTGGTACTCACTGAAGAGGAGGCTGGGTAGGCTCCAAGGCTGGTCTAGGAGCTGTGGAGAAGAGAAAAAATCTCTTGCCCATGCTGGGAATTGAAGCCTGACCATTCAGCCCATAGCCTGTAGCCATATTGAGAGAGCAGTCTCAGCTCCTGTTAAACTGTGCTAATAAGAATATAAAATTGCCAGATAATATTAAGTGTAAACCTGAATATTAAATTTCATCAAAATCCATCTAGCACTTTTTGAGATGAATCATGCAGAAAGATTAACACAACTCTCCACTATTCAGTCATCTTATGCACTTGCTGCAAAGGGTGGAGAAGAAACCACAACTCATACTGTACACACTTCTTCCATGCAGATGCATGCACACTAATATAACAAAACACAAAACAAGAAGTATACACAGTTCATACATCTGGTGAGAATTCAGATGAATATATTCATGATGTATGACCATACATCAACCATAATTGAAGAATGTAAGTGCGAAGTCCCCAAGGTAAATGAAGCCGGTGATGAAGGCCAAAATCCCAGAACCAATAAGGTATGCTGTTGAATCATTTGCATGGTACCACGTCTCTATTATTATGCCACCCGTTGAAAAGAACATAAAGGCAGCAGGCAGGGCTATCATCAGCATCTAAACACAAGAGAATTAACTACTGCAAAACTGTGAAGTCCATACAGTTACATGGACATGTCTTAATATAGCGGTAGCAACAAGCCTACCATAATGAGAACTATCACAATAATTTTAAAGTGAAAATGTGATAGATAACAAACACAAACACAAAAAGTAGAATGACTAGATATGGATTAGATAACTAAGATTCAATTCTTGGTTGTGATGAGATCTTCCTCTTCATCGCTACATCCAAAATGCTCTCAGACACAATGAGTTACATTGGGCTGCTTTCTATTGGAATAAAGGGAAGCAGTGACAATAGATGTATAGTGTCAAGGTTAAAAATTCGTGAAATTTTACAAATTGAAATTGTGTGAAATTTTTAATCACTATTATCACCAAATCTGAGATAGATTTTGTTTAACATTACTGAAATACAGACAATGATCATTAAGAGATCTATCTTCTGGAATGAAATGCTCTGTTGAGGTGAAAATAAAGTTGCCACTGAATTTAATTAATTAAGCACCACACCATGAAGCTGTATGGGAGAGTGGAGGTATTTTTTTTCTTTGGCGCTATAGCCCTCATTTTGGGCCTAGGCCTACCTCCATGAAACTCTCTGTTTCACTTCGGTTTACTAGATCTTACACATATGGTAGGACTCCTCGGGCGAGTGATTAGCTCGTCGCAAGGCCTCTACCTGTAGACAAACGCAGAAAAACGCACACAAACATCCATGCCCTGACTGGGATTCGAACCCATGATCTCGGTTTCTGAGCGAGCGAAGACAGTGCATGCCTTAGACTGCTCGGCTACCGTGACCGGCAGAGTGGAGGTATAGCTCTACACATTTCTAACCACAGTACCACATGGAGGTGAATGGTCAGCATCATGCTCTGGCCATTTTACTCCTAGGGAAACAGCCCATGATACCCATTGGATAGGAGGCTGGGTGGTCCTCACTGCTAGTTCGGACATATTGGAGAAGAGAAAAGTCTCTTGAACCTGCCAAGAATTGAACCATTTTCCTCAACCATCGAGACTGTGGCTGTACTGACTGAGATACCTTGGTCCCTGTAATGCTGTGCAGTCCTGAGGAACTTTCAGAGTCGCAGAGTAAGACAAGCAACCAGCTTGCTGCCTGCTTCTTGCACATTTTACTTCTTGACCCTTAAGACAGTGACAGTATATTCCTCCAGAACACTGGTGGACTTCTACTGAAGTATATCGCATTACATCCCAGGATACAGTATTCTCAATAAACACAGTTTATATTTCGCTAATGGTAAAGGCAAAGAAATATTATTTGAAAATATATGCAGATGCAACTGAAGGTCATGGGTTCAAGTCCTAATGAGGTCACTGGATTTTTTCAATTGACCTAATCCTTCCAGCCATACTATGGCCCTGGGGTTGACTCAGCCTCCAACAGAAATGAGTACCAGGAATTAATTAAATAATTTTCCTGGGGAGTAAAGCGCGGCCGGCGCGTAAGGCTGACAAACTTACCTCCATCTCTGAGCCGATTATCTATATAATGTGGGACCCTCAACGTCTCGCAACTCTATGGGCCTTCATGGCCTGTTACTGGGATAGCTTTACTCACTTACTTACTCATCAAAGGGTTGACCATTACTCACCAAAGTTCTGTGTGGAGGGGTATTCAGTACACTGCCAACAATGACAATGATAGAGATCATTATGAATCCTATGAGAGTTCCAAACACTACAGCCCATTTTGACTTCACTGTGGCAAGATAACTGGTATCAGACATAAACAGGACTACAGCAATGCAACACAGCACCTGTGTAAATAACACATACATTTTATTTTACTGGATTCACATGCTACAAGAAATATAACAAAATTCCACATTTGTTACCTGGGACTGTAGATTATTTCTTATACTTTTCAATTCCTGATGCAACATAACACAGGATCATATAGTGAAGCTATCAACATTATTATCATGAAACATTTAACCCTTTCAGTCATCAATGAAATGTTGTGCCCTTGTAGCTCACGCCATGCATAAGGTACAAATGTAAAACCAGATGGAGTAATTTAAGCCTCTGTTACATTAAATTCAGCTCTTCCTTCTTTCCTTTCTTCTTCTTCTTTTTTTTTTGTTCACAATTACTGAACAAATAACCTGCATTATTCAGAAGTTTCATTAGCAAAACATTATATAAAGAAAAAAGGAATAAAGCACTGAACATAAGTTCTGTTTTCAGATACCTAAAAGTAACAATGCGTGCAAGCAGCGAACAATATCCATGCACAACCTTGCTATACCTGCTGAAGTTGTTTGTAAAGGACTGACTTTTCAAGCTGCATCAAAACACTTTAGGGCTGCACACACATCAAAGACATCTCAATATTCACAAGAGAAGTGGTAATGAACAGCTCTTCTACAGCAATAAATGTGCATTATGGACTGTATTCTTAACAGGAGTGGAGGGCAAGCTGACAGATTATATTACCACAGCTAGCCATATTCATTAGGGATTAACAAGGAAATAAGTAATGAAGCTAGCTTACCAGTTTGCAAAGGAACTTATGAAAAGTACCCTAACTACTGGGATGTGAATGGAAGAGCATGTGAACAATGGGTCATTGACTTTATGAAAAACAACAGTGTTGTTTCTGTGATAAAGACTCAAGCTACTAGTGTTACTAGTTTTAATAGCTTTGGTGCTGAAGAATTATTCACAAAGTACAGTGACTTTAGAAAAACATAAGCTCAGTCCTGATCTCATCTATATTGCTGATGAGAGTGAGTTCTCTGCAGTTCACACAATATCCCTAAAGTTGTTGCTGGTGAAGCGCGTTAACAGGTGGACAGTGTGATATCTGGAGAGCAAGGAGTCACTGCCACCATCACTAGATGCAATAATACCCTCAGTGAGTCAGTTCTTCCAGTGTTGATATTCCGCAAGTATACTTTCAGAACAATGTGTGTCACCTGGTATGCATGGAATATCTCCCTCCAGTGGCTGGACCAATGGAAACAAGTTTCCTGAATTTCTGGCTAATTTATCATGTGAAACCCATGAAATATTGTCAAGAGCTGTCAAGTGTTTCTTACTTACTTACTTAGTCATGGGGCTGAGCCCTTCTGGAGGAGCCACCAATTCTGCAGCTACTCAAGAATTTCCCAGAATTTTTATGGAACCTGAATGTTCATCACCATGTTCACAAGAGCCCTCTACTTGTCCCTATCCTGAGCCAGATCTATCCAATCCATCCCATCCTATCTCTCTAAGATCCATTTTAATATTGTCCACCCACCTACGCCTTGGTCTTCCCTGTGGTCTCTTTCCTTCTGGCTTTCCCACCAATATCCTATATGCATTCCTTGTCTCTCCCATTCGTGCTACATGACCTGCCCACCTCATCCTCCTTGACTTGATCATTCTAATTATACTTGGAGAAGAGTACAAGTTATGAAGCTCCTCATTATGCAGTTTTCTCCAACCTCCTGTCACTTCATCTCTCTTCAGTCCAAATATTCTCCTCAACACCCTGTCCTCAAAAACCCTCGGTCTATGTTCCTCTCTTAATGTCAGAGACCAAGTTTCACACCATCAAGTGTTTCTACTCTTTAATAATCATATGAGCCACATTACAATACTAGTGATACAAAAATGTCAAGAGAATTAATTATAATGCTAATATTTCCTCCTCATACCAGCCATAAACTGGGTCCACTCGATAAATATCTCTTTGGACAAGTTATATAATGTGGTGAGCAGCAGCTGCATGTTGAGCAACTCAGCGAACCCCATTTCCATTTATAATGTTGCCCACCTAACTGGTCTGGTGCTTTCAGTCCATTACTGGTTTGGGCAAGTTTTCAAGTTCATATGTGACAGGTCTGAAACAGCACTTCAGAAATCAGCAAATGAGGTTGATCAGCCATCTTTAGCTCTTCCACCTAAGGATTCAAACGAAACGTGCATGTTGGGTCACTGGCATCAACTCTGTCATCTCAAAGATCCCATGAAGAGATTCAACAATCTGCTAAAGCAGAACGAAAGCAGAAAATAATGAATGACAGAGGAAAGGCCAATCAAGGGTTTTAGCAGCTATCGCTGAGAAGAATGAAGTTGTGGCACTGAAATGGGGGGGGGGAGAAGCATAAGAATGGAAAATGAAGTCTTTTTGCAGACAAACCAGGGAAAATGAGGCAAAGAAGAAACAGATTGTTCAGCTGAGCTCTGAAGATGAATTATTTGTGACTCTGATGATATTTCTGACGATGAAAACTATGAAAGTTTCAGTGAATTAGCACAGTGATTTCAAGAATGAAAACAAGATGCTTTCTTTGAACTGGAACTTCCTTTCCAGCAAGGAAGTGAATTTTAAAAGCTTTTGCCACAAAGAAATTTGGTCGCTGCTGGGAAGAACAGCATGTGTCCAAAATTTGAAAACTTAGATACCAGTGTCACTGTTTAATTCTGCCACTTGGCAACCAGTCCAGCAACCCATATGCCTCGAAAACAGCTTAAGTCGAAGCGGTTTTCCTAAAGAACAACATATGACCTTCCAAATGCTATTGGTGGCAGTGGAAGAAACGTGTCGTGTAGCTGGTGATGAAGAATGTGAAACTGCGCCTGTTAATAGGTAATGAAGGAGGAAAACATACATCACAAAGCATGAAGAAATGATACAGGGGACTAGGGAAGAAAAACAAGTTAATCATGAGGGGAAAATTATGATAGAAACGGTTGCTGGTCGAAACTGCAGGTCACTCTCACTAAGTAGCCTCCAATGGCTTCTCTAGTACACAGAATTATATCTGTACTGTCGCAGCCCACGTTTTTTGTCAGTGTGGCATTATGAATTCAAGAAGTGACAAAAATTGCCGAACCTGAGTGACGCCGAATCTTGAGACTTGGAATAGCTCCTTACCGAGTACAAAGACATCTGCTATGAAAAGCGATGACTACAAATGGACCGACAGAGTGTACCACCGTATAGATATGGGATAGACCCAACCGATCCGCCAACCCCCAAGAATGTTCCCCCTGGCAAAACTCACGGAAGTGGGTGAGATGCTTGAGGACATGCAACGATGTGGGATTATCAAAGAGCCAGAGAGCCCCTGTTCATCTTGTCCTTGTCTGGAAGGACAGGGCCTGCCCTTCTGCATAGATTATACAAAACTAAACGTCACAAAGAAAGATTTTCCCACTGCCCTGAATTGATGACGCTCTGGACATGCTGGGTGGAGACATTATTGGCCCTGTTTGAAAGGATAGCCATCGATGTTGCAGGGCAACCAAGGAAACCAGTACCTCCTGATCTCTATGGCCTATTTTACCAAGTGACTGCAAAGCCTATGCAATTCCCAATCAAGAGGCTTCTACTGTGGCGGAAGTGCTATATACCAACTTCTTCTGTCGCTTAGGAGTACCGCGGGAGCTACATTGTGACCAGGGAAGTAATTTCGAATCTCGTGTGATACAGGAGGTTTTTCAGCTCCACGGAGTCAGCAAGAAGTGTACCACATCCTTTCATCTGCAATCATACGGCATGATGAAGCACTACATCAAAACGGTACCTATGGCACATACAAAATGTTGTCGCTTCACACCAGAAGGACTGGAACACAAGATTAGCCATCTTCCTCCTGGCCTACAGGGCATCCTTTCATTACACTACAGGCTTGACCCCAGTTAGCCTAGTGTTTGGAATTCAGACTGTCCCACAACTGCATGTTTGCCGCTCCCCCCCCAACAAGTAATGACTAACAATCATGTGGCAAATTTACTGGACCATCTACACGATATCCATAGTTATGCCCACCAACACCTGAAGGTGGCCAGTGACTGGATGAATACTGGTTATGACAGACTAAGCAAATGCGCAGGCTATCATGAGGGCCGTAATGTGTGGCTCTATCGCCCAACCTGCACAAGGGGAAACCGCCCAAGCTGCAATCCTCATGGGAGTCTAGAAAAGGTAGTCACCTGGATAAATGATGTGGTATACAGAATCTAATGGAAACCTAGAAGGAGGCTGGTGGTGGTACACCTGGATCGGCTTGCACATCATTAGGGAACCGCTTTGGAGGAGTGGTCATCTTAAGGAGGGAGCAGCAAGAGCAGTTGGAGATTAATCATCATGAGAACCGAGCCACGGGGAGTGATGGTGAAGACTGCAGGCTATTTGGGACAAACAGTCTTAAGGGAGCAATGTAGCACACATACCCATTGCTAAGTAATGGCTTGTACACACGCAACAGAGGGCCACGTCACTTTCCTGGTGATGTCACGCAACAATAGGAGGGCTGTGGGAAGTGGTGTTTTCTGTGCGGTCCATGCCTACGTGCTATAAGCAGGACAAGTCTAGAGTTTAATTAGCTGTGAGACAGTCGCCAGCCAGTAAGAATGTGAGCACGTAAGTTAGGGGATCTGCGGCATTGGAAGCCGTTCCCAGACAATTGGTGAAGACACAACAGACTGGGAAGACTTACTAGTTGCTGTAGCCAAGTGCTGAGTGGGTGATTTAGCGATAGTGCTTTAGTTACTTGTAGTTATATTCTGTAAGAGTTGGATAAATCCAAGTACCAATCCAATCCTGTCTACAGTCACATTATCATGTGAAAATATTTATAAAATGTGGAAAAAAGAATTAGTCTTTGTCTGTTTACAGTAGCTAGTGTTGCAGTGAGTAAATGCAGTTTTACAATTAACCAAAAAATCCCAAGGTACAAATGTCTCACCTAAGTTTTTGAATGTCTGAGAGTGAGAAAGAACATGAAAAAGTAATTTGTTTGTCTTGGAACAACTGAGAAAGTTATTTTGACTCAGTGGGGTGGGTATTCTGCACATGTTTTAAGGTCATTACATCATCTCATTTCTTAGCATGTCCAGAGTTGCTTCTTAAAAGTAGTTATGAACACAATTTATTCATATTAAAGTAACATAATAATTATTAAAATAAGCAATAGAATGTACTGTACTGCACAAGACAATCACTTCAAAAGAAATTATACTGTGATATGTTTTATAGCTGATCTCACACATTTCCACAGATACTTATGAGGAAATTATGCTCTATTTATGCAGGTTTACCTTCTGCCACTTTTTATTCAGAACACAAGTGTCTCATAAATTGAAGAGTACCTATTAGTCTGTACAGTTATCCCTACTTACCAGTTCAAATATCTTTGCCAGAAACGTTGGTGACTTGATTAGACCTGTTATATTGGCCATTTTCAAAAGCAAGCCTGTCTGCAATATCCTCCTGTAACACCAGAAAATATATTTGTTAATAAAGAGCATTAGAAATATTTCCTAATCAAGTATTGCTGATAAAATCAAACTTGTCATGGCATTACATACTGGCATGTGTTAGTTACTAGATACAGGGTTTAGACTGAATATTGAGTTTACTGAAGGCTTATTACTCATAACTACAAATAATTATAACACTCTTACTAATCCACACACTACAAATAACCAACCACCAACTGTGAGTGCCATCAACTCATGCCTGACTGATCATAGCAGAGCTTCAACTTGCTGACATTAGCAGTCACTCTTGCATATGATTATGTTTGTTTGTTCCAAGACAACTCGTGTATTTTGAAATGGGGCCTCCTCTTTGATAACGGGAGGGCTACCTTTCTGAGTAGGCACCACAGTTGATCTCGTGAGTGATTCAGATGGTCAGTCAGTCTGGTAACTCGCCAGCACAGCCATTCTTGGTTCCAAGCTCCTCAGAACACATGATCATATTTTTTCTGTCTCACGCCTCTGATTGATGTCTCATGGTGGTCCATTTACAAAATTGCTGCTGGTTCTCGCCAGCACATTCATTCTTGGTTTTGGACCCCGTGGAAGCCATCACCATACTTTTCCGTCTAACATGTCTGAGTCTTAGACTTTTCCAGAATGACGTTTAGATTCTAAAGGTTTCTGATGATGGTGTAAAACACTTACTGGGATTCTGGACTTTGTCCATCGTCTGGTATTCTAAATAACACTACAGAATAAACAAACTGTGTGGTCTGTGTGGTTTTAGTCCACAAGCGAACTATACCGACCGAGCGACCGCCGCTTGTTGGCAAAGTTAGTGCCAACCTTAGCGGATAGAGTGTGTCGCATGGTCAGTGCAACGAATCCCCACGGCTGTTAATTTCAGTTTTCTAGACTGGATTCGCTATTTCCTTGAAATAGCTCCTAAATTATCACGAGGCTGAGTGAACCCCATTCCAAACCCACTACTTCTCAGAACATCTGGTAGCGCCGGGAATCGCACCTGGACCTCTGGATCTGTAGCCAGGAACTCTGACCACCAGACCACAGAGGCAGTCCCACTAGGAAATAAAGTTTTGGAAACTGGATCTGTTTCTGTCCTCACTGGTACACTGATTGAGGTTAGCTCTTTCTAAGAGACCCAATAGAGTAGGTGTCTCCCCCTCGCCCAAGGATGGAAACGGAACCATTTTCCGAATCGTTGTGTTCTCTAGTTGTTATAATATCGAATGATGAACAAAGTCCAAAAATCCAGTAATTCTGAGGACGATTGGATTATCATACCACAGCACAGCAGTAAATTGCTACTGACCCACACAAGCAGTTATTATTGGTTCTGGACCCCGTTTGGAGAATTGGCCACATTCATGTTCGTTCCAAGACCATTTATGTGTTCGGAAATGGGGAATCCTTTTCGACTAGAGGTCTTTCTGAGAAGCCGACATATTTCTTGTTCAGTGATTCTGCATGAGTGTATCCGCACTCACACACGGTCCATATAAGGGCATTTATTTATTACGGACACCACAGAAATTTTGTCATATTTATACGAGCATAGGGTATTCAGAGGACCTCTATCAATGCAGGCTTGTGCTTATTTAACCACTCCGAAACGGCAGCCTAGTCAGTTGTGTGGTCGTAGGCTTGACTGCCAACAACTCGAAACTTCTTATAATTCCTATGATTGGCTTCTCCTTACCCAGTTGCGAGTGAATTTGGATTTTGATGATTCTATAAGTATTTTGTCTGTTTCCTGCATAATTTATGTAATCGTACAAGCAACGAATTTTGGAAGCCACGTACAAATTGCCGACTGGTATGCCCGTCTAGGTCGCCATTAGCACAGAGAGCTGGGATAACGACTGGCTGCGGGCTGGACGATCGAGGGGTCGGAGTTCGAGTCCCGGTGGGGTCAAGAATTTTCTCCACGTTGTTCAGACCGACTCTGGGGCCCACCCAGCCTCCTAACCAATGGGTACCGGGGGCTCTTTCCCTGGGGGTAAAGCGGCAGGGGCGTGAAGCTGACCACTCGCCTCCAATTAGTGCCGAGGTCAAGAAAATTTGGATCTATACATCCACTTCCCCGTATGACTTCATGGCGTAGTACTTAATTAGTTAAGCACAGGGACACCTTTACCTTTACTCTGTTTTGCAGGTCCTGCAGTTTCAATAGGTCAGTGTCCCTTGCATACTCTCACGTGGGAGAGGCACAAATCAATATTGTTCTAATCAGGATTTTATATAGAATAAGTTTAACACTGGTGCTTAAACTCTCACTTTTCAGTGCGGAATAGCTTCTTATATACTTGTCTAAGGCCTTCGCTACAGCCCTTTCGTATGGAGTCTCCAAGTCATCCTGAAATCGAAGAAGATGCCAAGACACTACATTATTTACAAAGGGGATATTCGGTCCGTTTAGTTGTGGTACGTCCGCAGGGACTCTTAAAGTCTTCTAGAGCCCGAGTTTTCCCTTTATTGAATTTATGTTCCAGCATTCACACCAGAACTTCAGCGCAGTGAGGCCGCGTTGCAATTTGGAGTCACGACGTCGGCGCAGTGAGCAAGATGGGTGCCTGGTACCGCTGGGACATATGTTTATATACAGATTGTAAAACACTGGGGCACCCCTGCCGCTATTTTTCTTGGCGTGGAAAATTCGTCTTCCACCAAGTCTTTAAATTTTCTGTCAATGAGGAAATAAGTAATTAGCTTAAAGGTAAAAAAAAAAGGTAAACGTACCCCTATAACAGGTCGTGAAGGCCCATAGGGTTGTGAGACGTCGAGGCTCACACATTTTCTAGAAAATCGGCTCTTAGATGCCGGTGAGATTGTCAGCCTTACGCGCCGGCAGTCCTTTACCCCACAGGAAGATTCTTGGTACTCACTTTAGTTAGAGGCTGAGTCGACCCCACGAACATAAACATCCAATGACTTATTCGGGATTAGAACTCGCGACCTTCCGGCTTGTAGCATAGTGCCGCAACCAACTACGCTACTGCTTGCCACAAATTATCTTAAAAAGATTTATCGAAAATTGTGGGACAATTTATATAGCAGGCCAGAGTGCCATCTTGTGTCGAAGGCTTGCCCGATATCCAACAGTACGATATACTGTCGCTGAAGTTTAGAGCAAGGTAATCCGCCGGACTCGCATGGTGTCATACATTTATCTGCTCGAAATTCAATCTAACTTGTATTTAAAAGTTTCTTTCCTCATTGTGTTCTTGGATTCTTGCCCGTAGTAGACAAGAGACTAATATGACGTAAATTTGGTGGAAATTTTCGGTCCTTGACAGGTTTCGATAGTTATGATTTTTGCTTCCTTCCAAGGTACTGGGAAGTGACCAAGCCGAAGGCGGTGACTGAATAAATGTGTTACAAATGCACAAGAGGTCTTCGATGATGCCGTTGATATTCATTTGGAATGTCATCAAAACCACCGGTCTTTTCCTAATTTCAAGGACCGTATTTCTTTCGAGACGTCACAGGTATGTCTTCATCAACAAGCAGGGCTTCGACCTGAGCCTCCACATGCCGTCTATGGTCACGGGCATATAAATTATGAGCTCTGAACTGGTTCTCTAAGCAATCTGGCGTTAAGTTGGCTTTATCGAGTCGGTAAAATATGGGGCCTAAGGGACCATTAACGTTGTGTAGTCGGTAAATTCACTCTACTTTTGACCATTAATGTGCCCTTAGTCAATCCCTTTTTGTGAGATATTTCGCAATAGGCCATATTGCTTCAGGTGTCCTTGCGCTTGCAGCTTGCTATCTTTGTTTCTCGTTCTCAAATACTCTTTCCGGATCATTCTCTTAATAGCTTTAGTGACCCAGTTTCCTGACGTTCTTGCATTTTGGAACGCTGGTTTTTTGCCACAGTATTTAAAGATACTTATCGTGCTTCTATAGACGATATTTGCCTGGTATTTCATATACCCGATCTAAAATTATAGTTTTTTTCCAGTTGATAGGCTGTATGCTGCAGCTTTAGAGGCTGAAAAGTCGCGTGTTGCCTTATCAGCTTCTTCAGAAAAATGAATTTGGATGTATGGACGTTTTCGTCCAGAGGTGAGGCTTTGAAACCGCTCCCAGTCTGCGAATTTTCCAAGTGGATCGGAAGTTTCCCTAGCTCTTCCATGGCTGCGCCATAGCTCAAGCGCTTAGGCGCTGGCTTCCCAGCGCGGCGACCCGGGTTCGATCCTGGGTCTGGTCAAGTGGGATTTGTGGTTGGACAAAGTGGCGCTGGGGCGGGTTTTCTCCGAGTACTTCGATTTCCCTTGCCAATCTTCATTCCACCAAATTCTCCATCATCATAATTACCCGGGGCAGGCTACAATAGGTTAATTAGTGGCCGCCGTGCCAAGTGGACCCAGTTGGACGTCACCCCTACTAGCGAAATTCCCTAGCTCTTACAGGGTCCGGAATGCTAAACATGATTTGTAAGTGATCCTAGTCCATGATGTCATGGCAATGACCTCTGACAGTTGGAGAATCAGGCGGACCACAATGTCAAGAACATCACCTCTCTCATCTGAAGTGTAATATGTAGGGCACTGGAGATTCAGATTTCAAAGTTGTAATTAAAAAATAGTTCCAAGAGCTTCAAACCTCAGGGGTTTGAAACTTGACTATTCCAAATAGGGTGCTTTGCATTCAGGCCACATGCCAACATAGATTTATCCCTAAAACCTCAGAGCTCTGTGACATCTGTCATTTATGGCCCCATTATTCTGGCTTTTGGGCATCATTTCACAATAACTACGCAATATTATAATTAAAGCATACAGTATCTGTGAAGTTCATGAAAGACTGTTAACTGAAAATCTTATTTGTATATAATTCGTGTTCTACAACACTGTTTAGACAGGAAGTAAAAAATAAATACAAATGTACTAATTTGAGTAGTAAGTAATGGAGGACAACAAAATGTTAGCATCGACAATAATTTTGTTTTATTATCCTGTATGCACATAAGACATGAAGGTAGAGCTCCAAGTATTCTAGATCTCAGCACTATACAGAATTAAGTGATAAGATTTATTCTCTGGCTGCTATTGAATGAATTCTGTCTACCAGAAGTGTCCAAGACATGGTAGTGAGATGACAGAATCTTGGACTCTGACCGCAGCTATCCAGCCCTTATGCAGCTCATTAAAGAAACATGATTACTATAAAATCCATTATTACTTTATGCCTTTCTGTGTTGTGGTGTAGTGGTGATATCCGTACTTCGTACTTTGTAATCCAAGATTCAATACCGGAGGTTTGCAACACCGACAACTTTTATTTCTTTCTCAGTTATTTCTGAAAATACAAGCAAAATGTAAAGTTATTCCTTGGCTTCACGTCATGAAGACATATTGGGAAGTGGGAGTACATCTCCATCACTCTTAACCTCTAAACAAGATGGAGATATGTTGTCAGTTTCAGGTCTCCGCAGCTTTTCCCCCAGAACCCGTTGTATAGGTAGCGTAGTTGGTTGAGGCACTATGCTACAAGCCGGAAGGTCGCGGGTTCAAGTCCCGATGAGGTCATGTAACCGCTACGTTCGGCACCACTTGCAACCGACCTCTTAGTTGCCCTTACGTTGTGCTCCACTCGTGACTGCCTTTTGCCCGATTTTACAGCACTTATTAATTAACTTCAGCTCACTGAACACAACGGAAACTAGAATAGTTACACTTATTTGGATTGAACTTGTAATACTTCTAGCGAAGTGACGTAGTTGTGTTTTTCTTTTGTATCTGACCTGGCCGAAAGTTGAATGCAGACTGTCTGAGGCATCTGAGGTATGTCGTTAGAGAGTTCCATGTGTCTGAGGCATCTGAGGTATGTCATTAAGGAGTTCCATGTGTGATCTGTTATAATACATTGTAATTGTAATACGAACGTCCAATAAGTCCAATCATCAAACCTCGAACCCACAATTAAGTCACGCCAACCCCTTATAGGTGACAATATATATATATAAGAATGAACATCATTTAAATGCTACATAACGGAAACGAAGATCTGTCAAGTTCCTTCGAGAACCAAACATATACGTCATGACACCAGCCAGTCAAACAAACATGCAGTCCACTTGGAAGGATGTGCTTCAGGACAGAATTCGCTTTTCAATTTCAGTTTTAATATGGAACTGGTTTATACGGACATCCGCCATAAGAGGGGCGGGGAAGAAAGAAAAGAAAAAGAAGAAGAAGAAAAGTAAAGCTATCCCTGTAACAGGGTAGAAGAAAATCCGCGAGCGAGGAACCAGCTTTAAATGTTTGGATCCATAAAGACAGGCTGGTGAAATAGTAAGAAGTCAGCATGACATTGACATGAAAGAGAAATCATTTATAAACATTTTTACTGGAGTGACATAAAAGAGGTCTTTTGGAATGTGTCGGAAGTCTGGTTTGGTCGCGTACAAACTTTTCGAAAGAACTTACTGCCTCAATCTTTAGGGCTGTGTATTTTGCAACACATCCCATAAATCGTAATTTTAAGGGGACGTGATTGAATATAATTCCAGCGGAAATGTAAGACACTCAGTTCTTGAAGACCCCTGTTGTGCTGACTCGTTTCTATATACTTTCATTGCCTCAATCGCATTCCATTTTCACACAAGAGCACACACTATAGTTTGAGCGCCTGCCTGATCCATTTTGGCAGCCCTATATATTCACATTAACAGCCTCAAACTGCGATACAAACAGGCAGAACTTATAGATCAACTTTCCTTCAAAGGTCACGTTATCGTCAGATGGTGACGCTCGTTGACCACTACATCGACACAGAGTTACAATATCCTGTTTTCAACATAGGTTGGAAACAGAATTGTCAAACCAGAGATCTCCTAGGTTACGCCGCACTTCTTTCAGCAAAGTTTTTGCCTGCTCAATGTATGACGTAGCCTCAGATGTGGTGGCTATGTAGAGGAGGTAGCGGCGTGACGAGGAGTCAGCACAACGTCGATTTAAAGAAATTATTTGCATGCATTTCCACTGGAATGATATACGGATACTGATAATTCAGTCCTTTCGGATGTACCACACAGAAGACTACCCTACAGATGGAGCCAGGAGGTTCTTCCGAAACGTTGGCAGCTATCAAAACACATGGTGTCACATTCCAGAAGACCGCAGCCTCAATATTCACCGCCGTAACAACCGAAGTCTGAGCTATTGGGCTCTATTACGTTATTTATTTTTGGTTCAACGTGGTCAACAGTATATGGCACCTTATGTGCACATTCTCTTTAATAAAAAGGCCGTAATAAGTATCCCTTTTCCAAGTTTCACTTTGGTCCGAGTGCTATAGAGTGCAGTGAACTTCAATTATGCTCATTTTAAATGAAACCTCCGGTTGCTCTTTTCTTTTTCGGTATAGACTTAAGCAGATAAACATTTTTGGGTCCTCGCATTTTTAGTTCCGACACCGCTTAGAAAGTTTCATGTAACCATATTTTTGGCATCCTATGACTAATCTTACACGCATATAAATTTCAATATTGTTTCTCTTTTATCAAACATGAAAGCACACACATTATTTGTCTTTCATTTTTGAACTTTTGACTTAGAATATTTTTCAAAAAACAAACAAAGAAACTCCGTGGTCTTAGTCCGAAAGCGAACTATACCGACCGAGTGACCGCGGCTTGTTGGCGAAGTTACTGCCAACTCTCAGAGAACATATATTCTGAGGTACTCTATGGCCTATATATAAAATTCGTTCCTTGTAAAACGTATGGTAAAAAGGATATATTTATTCCTATTTTTGTCCAATTACGTTCAGAACCTATGTCAGAACTTCACAGCAAACTTTAAAAAGAAAACTGTCTTTGTCGTTGTTAATATTATTATTGTTGTTGTTGCTGCTGTTGTTACAAAAATGAGAAAATAAATAATATTTTTTGCTGCCTTCCTTTCTCCAGCCTGTGCTTTATAAAGACATACTCTGTGAATATAACATGTATTTGGGCCAGCTCAACAATTTCCATATTTCATGCATTTTGGACCAGGCATTCACAGCAAGCACTTCCCCCAAACAGATGATACAGTGAATATTTTTATGCAACTTGTGACCTATAGCATTTCAGCGGTCTCCATACCTTTTTACGAAACAATGAAATAAAAACGAAGTTCTTGGTTTGCTTTCATCTTTGTCTCTCACGGTTTGAAATATGTGCATCTATTCCATGTACTCTGGTGGCAAACAACTTCCTTATGTTTTGTAGAACAGGTCAGTAAAAGGCCAAAAACAAACCCTCTTCCCTTCATTGTCCGAATTATAATTTCGAAGATGTAAGTTTCGCACATGTTTTGATTATGCCGGTCCTCATATTTGAAATTGAATAGTTTATTTGTGTTTTCTACATAGGGCGAAAACACAATGTCTGTCCTGTACGACTTGTCTTCCAGGAGATATAAAATGTAGACTAATGTCCAAAGAATACTCGACAGCCGAACCCATGGCACAGTTCCGGGATTTTCGAGCTTCCTGGGCAAGATCTGCTGGTCCTTTACACATTTACCGAATTTAGGAACTCATTCTATCTGGAATAGTGTTTGAAAATACGTGACTAACAAACGAACTACTGGATAAACGGAGCTTTAGGAATTATTATGTAGGCCAATATACGTAGATATGCCTATTAACATTTCACAGTATATGTTTACGCGCGTATACGTACCTTAATAGGCTTATGCATTTTCCAAACATTGTTATAACATGTGATATCACAGTATCATTCCACGCCTATAATTTCTAGCAGACTGAAAAATGTTTTGCCTCGCTACCTGTAGCTATGTAAACATTCTCATCCGCACTGAATTTCGACAAAAGTGGCCTATTATATTAAGGGAATAATTCAAAATAAAATGTGACAGGGAGAGAGGAAAGAAATTACATGATCACGTACTTCATAATTCATAGAGACCACAATCCCTACTACGTCGGGCTGAACATGCAGCTGTGAGAAGCTATTTACAGGAAGGCCAACAGGAAGATGAGTGCAGTGGCTGTCGCACTCCCACGCACGAGTTTCAGTCTCTTGCACATTTTTATCGGCTTAGCGTACAGTCAACTTCGGTTAATAAAAATTAAACTGAAAAATGTAGACTTACAAGTTTTTATTATTCTTGGGAGCTTATAAATTTAATGTCTGTTATGGACCTCTTTCGAAAATCGTCCACTCCCGGCGTAACCGTTCATTATAATTAGACAATATAATAAATGTTAATTAAGATTAATTAGTTTTAAAACATGTATAATGTGTACAATTAAGGTGACATTCACGTTATTGCATTAGAAACGCGACATACGTTCATTCTTGCTGAGAAACAGGATATAGCTCCCTACACCAATTGATTTACTGTCATAGAGCACGGAAAGTCTTTTGGTAACCTGAGATATGTATTTAACAGTTGGGTCTAGCTGTAAATTAGTTTTGTATAATCTGAAACCCACGCCAAGTTGATTATGTATCAAGAATAGATGGAGTACGTCGAAGTTCTGAAAGGATTGAATTCTCTCGGCAAAGTAATTTCACTGGAGAACATAATTTTGTGTTAGCCTTTTAAATATGAATTGAAGCAATAATGGAAATTCGTAGGAGGTGACTATGTTTGAAAGATTACCGACTGGATAATCTCTCTACTTGCGAGAGTTCACTACTTTTTGGCCGACTCTCGTGCTGTACATACGTAAAACAGTGTCGCTACGTTCCCAATAATATTTTTATTAAAGGACAACTTGTAAACTAAATAACAGTTAAAAAATATATTATATAACTTCCAAGAAGGCGAAGTAGAACCAAACTGATTCAAAGGCATGATATAACTAAAGAGTAACTAATACAAGTGTTATCTTAAGTTTTTTTATTGCTAGTGGGGTGGGACTAAGTCTTTTGTACTGCGGCCATTTCTGGCCTATTCTACCAGCCCGATGATAGGAGCAATTGGTGGAATGAAGACTGGCAGGGAAAACCGAAGTACTCTGAGAAAACCTGCCCCAACGCCACTTTGTCCACCACAAATCCCACTTCACCAGACCCGGGATCGAACCCGGGCCGCCGCGGTGGGAAGCCAGTGACTAAATGCTTGAGCTATGGCGCGGCCTATCTTAAGCTTAATAGTGTATGCGATCAAATAGTGTGTAATAAATTTAACCTCTAGTAAAACGCCGTCAAATCGAACTATACCTCGTAGTAACACGAATTCCCCCTTCTTCTTGTTTGAGCGAGACCTGCTAAGACCCTCAGAGTCAGAGCTCTACTGAGTTAAGTAGTCGGTCTATACCGTCTATACACATCCACTTTCACCGAAAGATAATATCCTCTACTCTTAACTTACAACTCCCAGGTTTACTGGTGCCTAACCTCAACTACTACCTCTTCAACTCCATCGTTTAGTCAGCTACAAGCAAATGGAAAGAGGTCTCATAGATGAAAGGAGAATGTCTCTTTCCCTTATTAGTGAAAGTGCAATAAGGCAAGACTAAAAGTGAATACCTCAAGAATGGCTACTTACTTACTTACTCATGGAGCTGAGCCCTTCTGCAGCAACTCAAGAATTTCTCAGCATTTTATGGAACCCGAAGGTTCATTACCGTGTTCACAAGAGCCCTCCACTGGTCCCTATCTAAGCAAAGTTAAAAGGAGCCGCAGTTAGGAAGGTAAGGAAGTTCCGTTCCACCGGGTTGCCTTAGCCAACTTAATTGCTGCTCAGAAGACATCATGGCTTGCGCATTTGTATTCCCGGCTTCGAGGGAACGTTCGTCGGGCATGATAGGAGCGACAACACGAAAGTTTTGGGATTGTGAATTGTGCTGTCATGTCGTGTTAATGGCAGACAACGGTACTGGCGAGATCAAATCTTACTTTCTTATAAATTTAAGTTTTCTTTATCTCCAACTCTTTCTCGTATAAGTAAATACTTCTGTTCTATAATTCTACGCATTTTCAGATAATTTAGTTCCACAAATATGGCCTGATAAACAGGATCTATGATTGGCGCGACATGTGGTGAAACATTCGATAAAACCATGTCTATTCCCTAGACCAAGGGTTTCCAAACTACGGCCCGCGAAAGAATTGTGCAGAAATGCGCCAATTGAACTAATTTTCCAGTGAGTACTGCTAAATGTGATTCCGAGCTTACTGACCTGACATATTATACTGCAGTTCGATGGCTTAGCTGTGGAAAGGTTCTTTCGCGATTCTTTCAGCTCAGGAATGAAATTTATATATTTCTTACCGAGAAAAACCATCACGAACCACTTTTATCAGATACCGAGTGGCTTTGGAAATTAGCATTTTTTGCTGATCTGGTGAACCATATGAACCATTTGGATTTCAAGTTGCAGGGTGAAAATAACTTAGTCTGTGATTTATTTGCACTTATCAAGGCATTCAGAGCAAAGTTGATACTTCTTGAAAGCCAAGTGAAAAACTGTAACTTTGTTCATATGCTATACTGTGCAGAGTTGCATAAAAAGTGTGAAGCAGAATTTCCTTCTTCGTTTGTAAATTTAATCATTTCAGGTTTGAAAGAACAATTTCGGAAGCGATTTGCTGATTTGGATTCCAGGGCTCAGGAAATTAGATTGTTTCAAAATCAGTTTGACTGTGATGCTGCAGATGTCCCAAGTCAAATTCAAATGGAAATTATTGAACTTCAGGAAAATTATCATATTAAAGACAAATACAAGGAAGGAAATTTGATCGAATTTTATAAATTTCTGAACTCTGAGCAATTTCCAAATTTAAAGAAATTTGCTTGTAAATTTATCTCCATTTTTGGGACGACATATCTGTGTGAACAAACTTTTTCCCAGATTAAGTACATCAAGTCGAAATGCAGGACAAATTTATCCGATGAACATTTAAAGTCGCTACTTGTGATTAGGATTTAAAAATTTGAACCTCAATTTAATCTGATTTTAAGAATGCAAAAAGAGTTCCATCATTCACATTAATTGTTTTATTATAATTTGTGATCAAAATATGAGCATTTGCTGCTACTGTCTGTTGTCATTAATATACGATAATTTATTCTCACGTACTTTGTATTTAGTTTATGAAATTCTGTGCTTTCAATAAAACTCATATACCTAGAGTTATTAATTTCTCATTTTATCCGGCCCGTTGAAAGTGCTGAATTACCTAATGTGGCCCGCGGTTCGAAGAGTTTGGAGACCCCTGCCCTAGACGAACTACAGTCTCGCCGTTACATTATGATCTCACGAATTTTCCCCTGTGCCTACTTAAATTCTGCACCATGAATACATATGGAGCGAGTATAGCTGCAGACATTCTGAACCACAGCCCTATAGATCGAGGTGTGTGGTCTGCTTCGGGCCCCGCCCCTTTACTCCCTCGGAGAGTACTCCAAAGACGGCCTCGACCAGGTTGCTCAAGCTTTCTTCTCTTCTGGTAACTGTGCCCTGCTTGTCGAGACTGTGGAAACTGGCAACCGCAAAGCAACCGCAACTTCCGAGAATTGTTATCGGACTGAGTGAGTTGAACACGTAGTGCAAATTGAGGAAAAGGCAATCCCAACTGAAACGCAACACGTGGAATGAGCTACCCCAGAAATTGGCCACTGACAACGAACTTCGTAATTACACAAAGCAGGAAGTCAACAATGTATTCTGAGAATAACTATTAATATAGGCCTACAGAACATCGTTAAAGCTGACATTGTAGCACGGACACATTTAAAGACTCTCTTTTGTTCTACACGCAGTTCTTCTCGGAATCCTGTAGCGGAAGCCCGGATAATATAGCGAAATATACCGCGTCCTTCTATGCATAGGCACAATTATATTCGATGTTCCATGACCTCGGTCGTTGAAACGCCATATTAAGTACCTCAAGAACTAATTAGTCAAACTACAAAACCATGAATTTCTTATTAAGTATATCTCCTTTCGCCGGAAAGGGTCCATCCTGTCTGAGTGGCTAGTAGCGAGACATATACACGTACTCCACCTGCTGCTTGATAGAGAATATGTAACTTACTTACTTATGGAGCTGAGCTCTTCTTGAGGAGAAGCCAAATCTGCAGCTACTCAGGAATTTCCCAGCATTTTATGGAACTCGAAGGTTCTTTACCGTGTTCACAAGAGCCCTCCACTGGTCCCTATCCTCAGCCACATCAATCCAATCCATACCATCCCGTCCTATCTCTCTAAGATCCATTTTAATACTGTCCACCCACTTACGCCTTAGTCTTCCCAATGACTCTTTCCCTCTGGCTTTCCCACGAATACCCTATATGCATTCCTTTTCTCCCCCATTCGTGCTATATGCCCTGCCCACCTCATCCTCCTTGACTTGATCATTCTAATTATACTTGGAGAAGGGTACAAGTTATGAAGCTCCTCATTATGCTTTCGGATTTATAATCTTAATGAAATTCCATTTGAGTCTGACAATGCGAGGGAGCTTCCCAGTACAGTTCAAACACTATGAAGATCAGTGATTCACTCATAACGTGATGTATTCAAATAAATACCTGAACTTTCAACACTAGCACTGTACTCATAGCAAATAACACATCACAGCACACAGCAGATTCTGCAGAGATGTGACGGGTGAAGATGGCCTTGAAGGAACAGGTTAAACCACGAAACTTCTTCAAGTATTCGCACGAATGCCAACTGTAGCCAAACACGACAGAGAAAATAAATAGTAGTGCGCCTACGTATGGGCTGCATACCAAATACGAACAGTCAGGCTCCGGTGCCCATGGTCTAAGGCCGCTGGAACACTGAATCGCCGGTTCGAATAATATGGGCGTTTATCTGTGCTGTTAGGTTAAAATACCGATTGCGACATGAAAGGGCCTTTGTTTGGTAACTGAATTTGGTCAGAAAAAAGTTTTTCATGTCATTCCACATAGTCAGCGCGGTCTGAAAACCGTATCGGCATATCGCTTATTCCGGTTGTGTGCGCGTGAGTCACAGCAACAGTAAGAGACATCTACACTGAAACAAGCAGCCATGTGAAGTCAGTGCTGAACAAAACATGACCTCATTTTCTCAGCAGCTACTATTTCACAAATGAATGTCATTAATGCATGCAGCACATTTCGTGTTATCCTGCTGTAGATATAACCTGTGTTTATCACGTGACTTACCCGTAGTCCTTTCTCCACACCTCTTCACTACAACACAATTCTCCACAACTTCACTCGACCTTGCTGCCACTCTGTGCGTTAGCACTCACGGAAATCGCGTTCGTTTTCCGTGTGTCGGAACAAATCTGGTTGCGCGACAGTGCCACCTGTTGTATTTTCCTCGTACTACGGCAGGAGTGACTTAAAAGTTTTCCGCGGTTTCAAGTCCCGATGAGGTCATTGGATTTTCTTCAATTGACCTAATCCTTCCAGCCGCACTATGGCCATGGGGTTCACTCAGCCTCTAACAGAAATTAGTACCAGGAATTAATTAAATAATTTTCTGGGGAGTAAAGCGCGGCCGGCGCGTAAGGCTGACAAGCTTAGCGCCATCTTTGAACCGATTGTCTAGATTAGGGGTCTCCAAACTTTTCGAACCGGGGGCCACATTAGGTAATTCAGGAATTTCAACGGGCCGGATAAAATGAGAAATTAATAACTCTAGTTATATGAGTTTTATTGAAAGCACAGAATTTCATAAACTAATTACAAAGTACGTGAGATTAAATTATCGTATATTAATGACAACAGACAGATGCTCATATTTTCATCACAAATTATAATAAAACAATTAATGTGAATGATGGAACTCTTTTTGTATCCTTAAAATTTGATTAAATTGAGGTTCAAATTTTGAAGCGCTAATCACAAGTAGCGACTTTAAATGTTCATCGGATAAATTTGCCCTGTAATTCGACTTGATGTACTTAATCTGGGAAAACGTTTGTTCACACAGATATGTATTCCCAAAAATGGAGATAAATTTACAAGCAAATTTCTTTAAATTTTGAAATTGCTCAGAGTTCAGAAATTTATAAAATTCGATCAAATTTCCTTCTGTTATGCCGTGGTGACAGGGGGCGTGGAGGTATCCCTCCTTGCCACCACTTATTACGCCGTGGTGACAGGGGGCGTGTAGGTAGCCCTCCACTGCCACCACATCTTATGCTGTAAGGGGTTAACACAATAATACTACAGTCCATTCGCGGAGACGAGAGAGTCCTCGTAAACAAATGCACGCGGTATCATCTTCGCTCTTAGAATGAAATCATGCAGCGATCACGTGATGCGTGTAGCGTTGCAGGGGCGTCCAAAGTTACGAAATGAAATGTACTTTCACTATAATAACAAAAGTCTTAATACCTGTGGACAGTATTTTGCCATTATTAAATCGTTAAATTAAGGAATTATTTGATCAACCAATATTGCAATTTATATGCTTGACAAGACAAATTTCTACGTAATTGATTACTTAATAACTACTTACAGTATGCTTATTCTGATGAACTGACACTGTCTTCGTTGAGATCTATAGCCATCTTATAGTGCGCAAGTAACGTCGCCTCCATAAGGTAATATCATCTCTGTCTATTAACATGCTGTCACGTCCGCGTCGAACGTACTTGAAGTGTAGAACTGTTAACAAACTATAAAATGTAGTCCTACAATAAGTACCCAAACCTGTGTCTTCGTTGACTGCTGCCAAAACCTTATCAATCGTAGGCAACTCATGGCGAAAGAAAAAATCATGAATTTTTCTTCTTATTGCATTCCTCTCAAATTCGTCTACACTTTCCGAAAACTGTTTACGACGCTTCACCTTGGGTGATTTCAGAATCTGAGTGGTCTTATATTCCCTAATCACACGATATATGGAAGAGTCGCTGACTCCTGTAGAATATGCTACATTCTTAACGATGTCGGCTATTAAAATGTTCGGATTTAATTGTAATTCCGTTTTATACACATTGAGGATCATATGTTTTCCCGATGAACTTAATGATTTCCTTTTCTGTCGCTTCTTAGGTGGACTCAAAATCTTCATATCTTTTTCGCTCGCAGTCTCCGTAGTGGACATGGCGCACTTACTCGCAGCAAGCCACTTACAAGAACAAGAAAACAAGGAATATAAGTTTTAAAAACACTGTTCAATCTGAATGCATGTTTACGTGCGTCCGAATGCAGTGAGTACACTGAAGTAACTGCGCGCTTTGTCCACTCCTTGCTGTCAGCTGTGGCGACGCGGGGTTTGCTTTGTTTATGCTGTCTCGTCTCCGCGAATGGACTACAGATTACCCTCAGCTAGGATTCTCCTGGTTCTGGACCTTCTTCGTTGCATACAGCTGCCACCATCTATTACATCTTAAGAGGGTTGATGAAAATACTAAGGGCCGGTAGCACGGTAGTCCAGGGTTCTCTGTTGGCTGGCCCCATCATCACTGTCACCTCTTATAATTGGCGTAGAGCGGGCGTGTCGGGTCTGACCCGCCTCTGCCCATCGACTGTCACACCATATATTACACCTCTACTACAGGGGTGGATTTGATATCTCACCGCTGTCACAAATTATTATGTCTCAATGACGGGGGTGGGTTAAAACACACTAAATCACTTTGTCTGCCATTTCTCTGTGGCTAGTCCCTTCTCTACGTCAGTCAACCCTTCGTTGACTCGACCCACCGCCGTTGCCATAAGTAATGCTTCGACGGCAGGGGTGAGTAAAACACAATTACTAATTCTCTCTGTCAGCCACCTCTCGTTGGCCGATCTCCACCTCTGCTATAACTTTGTTATGCCTGAAGGGGGCTAATAAACTATCTGAATTACTCTTCCCTTGTTCCATCAGGAACGCATCCCCTTGTCTCTACTACTAGTCTCTCACCCTTAACTCGGATTCTCATAACCCTTACTTCCAGTTGCATCCGGCTGCCGTTGACCACCTGGGTCAGTTCTGCCTTCGCTTAGGTCTGGGAAAGGGAGGAGTTTGTGAGGGTGAATCATACGCTGGGTACATCCTACCCTAAGTACATTGTCTATGTACACTCTTATTTACAATCCTATTTACGGTATGAACAATGCCGACTTTCAGTCGGGACTTCATTGCGTCTTGACTTTACCATGCTATGACTTCATCATGGTCCCCCCTTCTGGGCTGTAGGACTTGAGTCTGTCTCTTTCTCTCTACTGTTTCGACTCATGAGGATATGCAAGTATTCAACGTTCAATGTGATCCTCTTTCCTCTCTCTATTCCCTACTATTCATTACATAATTCTACATTATTCTGTCATAATACTTCACCCTTATAATATTCTGCCCCTAAAGTTATACATACCGAAAGCCTACATATATTTATCACAAAATCAAGAGTCACAACTATAAACACAAATGTGCGTGCTCTGCACACTACCAGTAATCCTAACACTCTATCTAACGACTGCCATATTTACTACACTAGCAACCTCGCCTATTACTTGTTACACGATTTCTATTATTCTACCCTAAGGGCTCGCCGGGCACACTGGAGTCGGTTTTCAACATTTTACAAACAACAATTTACCAACAACCACAAAGTTTAACAGCCTGGCTAGTATGAGTAAACGTGACTTACTTGAAATAGAGACGCAGCGACACCACAACTTGTAGTACCCATGTCGGACAGAGCCTACGGCTAATTGTTACGTTTTTAGATCGATTTCCATTTAGATTTTTCTCATTTTTATACACTAATTTTGCTGGCACTGCAGTTGGCGAAAGAGGGAGGTTAACTACTCCCTTTGTTCTAAATTTCGGGGTGGAGGGTTTTCATTAGTTGTTTTCTTTGGGGGTGGGCGGGTCCGTAGCGCCTCGTCGCTGCGTATTTAATAATATTATTATAATCCAGTGGCCCACAAACGCGACTTGCAGTGGTGCGATTACGCATTCCTGCTGACTCCAACATTCTTGACCTAGATCGCCTGTCCAGGTGTCGCCATTCTAGCTCGATTGCTGTAAAACGCTTTTCGCAAGTCTCGAAACATTTAGGCAATGTCTTTTGATTTTCAGTCTCGAAATTGCGGCGTAGCACCTTCCTTGTATTTGTCTTTAATATGATAATTTTCCTGAAGTTCAATAATTTCCATTTGAACTTGACGTGGGGCATCTGCAGCATCACAGTCAAACGGATTTTGAAACAATCTAATTTCCTGAGCACTGGAATCTAAATCAGCAAATCGCTTCCGAAATTGTTCTTTCAACCCTGAAATGACTAAATCTGCAAACGAGGTAGGAACTTCTGCTTCACTCTTTTTATGCAACTCTGCACAGTTTAGCATATGAACAAAGTTACAATTTTTCACTTGGTTTTCCAGAAGTATCAACTTTGCTCTGAATGCCTTGATAACTGCAAATAATCACAGACTAAGTTATTTTCACCCTGCAACTTGAAATCCAAGTGATTCATTTGGTTCACCAGATCAGCAAAAAATGCAAATTTCCAAAACCACTCGGTATCTGATGAAAGTGGTTCGTGATGGCTTTTCTCGGTAAGAAATATATCAATCTCATTCCTGAGCTGAAAGAAGCGCGAAAGAACCTTTCCATAGCTAAGCCATCGAACTGCAGTATAATATGTTAGGTCAATAAGCTCGGAATCACATTTACCAATACTCACTGGGAAATTAGTTCAATTGGCGCATTTCTGCACAACTCTTTCGCGGGCCAGATAAAATCACATCGCGGG